CTAAGTACCAAGAGGAACCCTCATGTGAAATTTGAGAAAGATCCATCCAGAAATACTTGGGGGGGGAGGGGGGTCAGTCATTTTCAAATTTACAATAAAAACTCCCCATTGTCCCAATTAATGCTAATCAAACTTCGGGACAGAAGGGAAATCAAAGATGGCCGACAGGCAGCCATCTTGAATTTGAGATTTAAAAGTTTGTTAAAACTATTTCTCAGAATGTTCAGGTTTTCTCCTCAAATTTCAATTGAAAGGTTACGCATGGTTCCTAGTTCCCCATTTCAAATTTTGGGTACGATTGGAAAACCAAGTTGCCTGGTAGGTGGTTGTATTGAACTTGGGAGTAAGTTTTTTAGTCCTATTACTCAAAAAGAGCGCTAACAAAATTTTAACTCTCAAATTCAAGATGGCTGCCTGTTGGCCATCTTTGTTTTGTGATCAGTCCCAAAAATCAATCCTTCAGGTGAAATTTGAGAAAGATTCATCCAGTACTTTCTGAGAAGTTGCGGCAACAAGAACTGTTTAAGGACAGACAAAATGATTGACCATAGATGCAGGGCGATTTGAATAGCCCACCAGCTGAAGATGGTGGGCTAGAAATATAACTTACTTTTAAAGAACATTCTGTTTGTAAGGTTTCTTTTTTGATAGCTTCTGTGAACTTTCATTTCCTACAAAGAAATGCTGAGGCATGGCAGTCTTGCAATGTCACAACAAGAAAATGTTCCTAGTCATAACCGACAATGCCATTTCTAGTTTTTCACATTAATTCTTCAGTGTGATAAAACAAAGTGTTCTTTATCACAGCAGAAAAATGGCAACTTCATTTCCAATGTATTATTTTTTTATATTTCACAGATACAAATTATTAAATTGTTCAAACAGCTGTTAGCAGATGGACACCACCCTACAGTACTCCCATAACATGAGAGGCTGCTGGTCGGCCTTTTTTCAATCGGATATGATTTTGCCGACTGCGACCTCTCATTTCCGAAGCACTAATTCTTTGATGCAGTTTCCGCCCGAAATCCGGGCGGAACAAAATTGGCTTCTGGATTAATACAAAATATCAGGGGGGATTTCAAACGGAACTAAATGATACGGAGTTTGTTTGTATTCCGCTGGTGAAACATTACATGTAATCCATTTTTGTATTAACCGGAAAAATCATGGCAAATGCTGTCTGCTTCGCTTCGAATGAGGAAAAACTCATTATTTATGTCTTTGACATGATTTTTTCTCATATAATCATGGATTTATGGAAAGGAATATTTATTGGACCCTTTTGACCATTTAAATGTATGTAAACACGATATACTCTTTCTTAATCCGAACTTTGAAAATGTGATAGTCAGCATCAGGAAAATCAGCTATGGGCAGTTAGAGGTTACGCGGCGCCTGTCAAAAGTTTTTCGCCGTGTAAAACCTCTAACATTGTTGGAGTACACCCTACAGCAGAATCTCGTATGCACGTTTTTCCAGATGAGCAAATCACATAATTAAAACTATCAGGTATAAAAATATAACCAAAAACGACAAATGACTGTTGTGCAACTTTATTGTAACATTTATTATTACTCGTCACCGTCATCTTCCTCCTCATCCTCGTTGTTGATCTGGAAGTATCGGAGTTCGTAACTCTCCTTTGTATTAGCTACCACTCTCAACCAATCACGAAGGTTGTTTTTCTTCAGATACTTCTTAGTAAGGTATTTCAAGTACCTGTTAAGAAACAAATTCATTTCATATAATATTTGCACATCTGATATTCTTAACATATTGACAAACAAATACAACAAAGTCATGCACAAAATCAGTGAATTTTGGGATAAAATTGGCCCGGGAAATTAAACAAGAAAGTAAATCAAGCAAGATAACTTATACATAATATTATTCAGATGTTAGATTTCAACTAAACCACTCGACTGCAATCTTACAAATTGTGATGCATTTTAATATTGCCACAGTTAACGCACTGGTTCAGAGTGAGAATTTCAGAAAGTTAAAGAGACTTATTGCAGCCTCATCTATAAACTTCACCACAACACTGGTGGTTATGCATTACCTCTTTGAGAAAGCAATGTCAGCATTGAGGATGATCTTATTCTTGTCTCTGTCCAAGTTCACATTGCTTCCAAAGTTGTTGGTCTTTCCTCCAACCTTGATTCTCTCGTGCAGGAACTTCTCCTGAGATTAGAAAAAGGAATCCAGGGGATTAGGGAATGTTACCCTAATCCTAACTAGGGAAGTCAACCCTAGTTAAGGAAGCTGGTCAGTTGTAATATTCACTGCCAGTAAAACATATGAAACATTTTTTTCTGTTTATTTTCAAATTATATCTCATTCATAAAAAATTTCAAGCAGTCATAATATTTTATGTCAACTCTGAAACATTTATTCGTGCAAGTGATGAATAGGGCTTATTGCAGGTTAAACAACGGTGAGACCAACTTGTGTTTGACATCTAGCCCCCAATCAAATGTTCGTTTTCCCTTGGGAGCATGAACAAAGTATAACAGTCTTGAACTGTATGCATTTTGAGACAAGTCTCCAGCAAGAAGAACTGTTTATTGCAAAATAAACTGTCCCAATGCAAATAAAACAAAATTGGTGTAAAAGTGTGCTACATTGTCTTTCAATTCTAAATATATCACTAAAATTTCACAAGTTATTTTCAGCAAACTAGAAGTTGTCTCCCACCAGGGTGCACCTTGGTCTCAGTTTGACTTTGACCTTGGGCATTCAGACCTAATAGTTGTGAGTCGTCTTGCCATCTTGCATGCATCCCTAAAATTTCATGAAGTGGTCTTGGCCCAGGATGGACAGACAGAGTGACAACTCCATGTTTCTCCGAAATGTTTAAGCATTCATAAAAATTCCAATAGCTTGTTCTAGTGGCTTAATTAACTGCCGATTAAAGCAGTTCATCCCCCACCCATTAAAAGGTTTATTTCTATGGACTTTTTCATACTATATTCAAAATAACTGATTTCTTGTTTTAGTGAATCCTTACAAAGCTTGCAACATCCATGATGCCATCTTCCACAGGTACTGTGCAGTCGATGTTGTACTTGAGACTGGTCTTCTTCTTCTTGCCCTTGCCTCCGGCGGGCTTTCCAGCTCTCTTCACTGCCTGCAAACAATGAAATGTTAGATTTTACACAAATTTAAAATCAGTGACCTACAGAGGGATAAATGTTAGTCCAAAGAACAGTCTTTTACCATGTCATTTTATCACATGTTATCAAATTTGATAATCCTGGCCTTTGTCCTCGGCATACTGACCAAATATTATTACCCTAGCCGTTATGGCTTTTCAGAGGAAGTTGTTAAAGGTTATAACACATTTGTCCCCATCTTCATGCAGATTAGTGTCATTCTTCGAGGAAAATGTACAGCCCTTTTTTCCACCTATCTCTAGTGAAATCATTTTTACACTTGTCCTCTCGGTAAATTTTCTGAAGTGTTTTGAATTTTGTTTTGCTTGGAAGCCTTCAAAGTGGGCAAGATCATTCATTATAAATACAGATGTTTCTTCATCAAAGCAACCACCTGGCCAAAATTAATATCCCCCAGGCCTCTTGTAATTGTATATTTTACAAAGTTAACATGTTTTAATTTGCCTATACAATAACCTTGAAAGTCAGCCAAAGTAATTGATTGTAACCACATGTACGAGCCTAGTCTGTCAATACACCTAAAATATAATCCATAATACTCGATTATATAATAGGTGTATTGACAAGACGCGGCTAGTATCTGTGTTTTAACAAATGATAACTCTCTATGAAAGTAGTTGGTACAAATCTTTTGGAAAATGGAAGTACATTTACAATTTCTGGCTGTACCAATCTGCATACTAATTTGAGCATATCATAACAGTAGAAAACTAGGCCTCATCCCTTTGAAATTAGTTTTAATAAACATGATCCATCTGTGATTTTGAAAGCCCTTTGGTCATACAAACTGTACGACCCCAAACTGTAGGATATATGTCCACTCGACATTATAACATAAACGACCATATTGTTCCGTACCCATATCAAGATAGACCTTTATAAAACAGTTTCAATGACGGTTATTTGTTTCAAGTAAGCTAAAAATGATTGCAGTCTTTCTTCATTCCTTATATTTAGTGTTTCTTGAACAAGGTTTGGCCCATGTCAGCATGTGCAGACTTTTTTTGGGGGGGGGGGGGGGGGGGGCATTGCCAGACCCCTGTCATCTTTCTTTAAATGGGAGATTTTGGAAATAAAAATAACCATTTCCTGGCTTAAAGCAAAATTGACTTATTTGAATAAGATACGTTGATCTGTCAACAATATTACATTACAGTAATGCATCGTGATTGTCACACGACCTACAGACCCACGTGTTCGAAATCTCACGTGGAATTCGCATCAGGAAATGTTGACCGCCAAGAATATAACACTCAGAGGATGGTTACGTTTCATTTATTACGAAAACAAGTTATCTCATAGTTATTTTGAAGTTGATATAACAGCGTTTGATTATGTTGAAATGCCCTTAAAATAGGATATTGTGGAGACGATTTCCGTACCTGCGGCATTATGGCGGATCTGTGGGGAAAAGGAAGTTCACAACGAGACTACAAATATTTTTTACTTCTTTCAAATTTTTCCAAAAGCATTGACCAGGTGAAATGAATAATGATTTTGGGTTATCCTAAATAATAATTAACGTTTAAAAAAATCATTTCGCAAAATATGTTCTTAAATCGTGTCCTCGAGAGTATGCACTAGTAAATTAACCAGATACGGTTTCGAGTAAATCCGTATTTATGGAGGGGTTTCCCTTTGCTCCATACATGTAATATTACACCAGAAATATTAAAAATCTTTAACTATAATAAATTTAAGATTTTCTCGTTTAAATATAAAAATCGACATTTAAAATTGAATTATTTTGTTTATATTTTCATATCTATATCCGGAAATAAAAACCGTACCCTAAAGTGGTATGAATATTATTTTATCATCAAATTATAACCGGAAGTAGGTTTTGTCAGCTCGCCGGATCGATCGAAAACGCCTGCAACAGGGCTCATTACTCAGATAGACAAGGGGTAAGGCAAGCCTAATATATCTTAAATGTATTTTCTCTAAAAAGAATTATCGCATATCTGACAAAAAGTCAAACTATGAGCTGAGCGTTCAGAGTTCGTGTTAAAATATGCACCCACTTGATGGATAATAAAAACCATGGTGGGCGGTTCCTGAATCGTGAAGTAGCCCGAATATGTAGCACTAAATATATGTAACCCAAGGTTATATATACTGTAAATATTATATAAATAGGTAATCCGTCATCCATTTAGATACACTAAAAACAAACGAAATAGAATGAGGTTATTCATGGTGATACACATCCATGTCTACTGTAAACTCATTATTCAATGCTAATATTTTGCAGTTTTTGTGCCCATGGAAGAGTAACATTCACACTATTTGACAGGAGTATGTCAATATGATTGGTGGGTTGTTTATCTACAACCACAAGGGAGAGGTCCTCATTTCCCGCGTGTATAGGGATGACATTGGGTAAGGCAGCAAACAGTTGCATTCTACAGAAACATTGATTGGACCTACATCCACAAAATTCTGTTATTTTGTAGTAAATATGGAAAAGTTTGAATTAAAATTATCATTTTACACTGTTTGACGTAAAATTTGCATTCTTTTAAGATGTAGAAAGAGATATCTGTGTAAATGGCCTGGATTGGATCGATTGTTGGCGACCAGATAGCTCAATTGGTTAAGCGTCCGTCTAGAGTACGGAAGGTCTCGGGTTCGAACTCCAGTCTGGCCGTGCATTTTCCCCCTCCTGGTACACATGTATGAAGACAAAAAAGTAAATCATTGAAACAGAAATATGACCAAGAAATCAACATTCAAATATAATACATTGTTCAGACAATATTTTTCAGTACATGGTTATAAATATGGCATATATTGGAGAAGATAGCATTACAGCCTAGGTAAAATATTGGGGAATATTCTTTATTGTCCGCAGTTGCTACGGTAAAAAAGCTATAGCTGCACTGCCAAATTGCAATGGTCTGAATTTTCAGGGGATTATATTTTGTGTTATTGTGATATTGCAGACGCAATGCAGTTGATGCATTCCGAGTCAATGTCATTCATGCGAGACAACAGGTGAGGTCACCTGTGACTAACATCGCACGAACCAGCTTCTTCCACATCAAGAGATCTAACATCTGGTTGGCAGCAGTCACCAAACAAAATGTCAACGCTGCCATGGTCTTCGAGTTTCTTCTTAAAATGGTGGAGGTCATGCAATCCTACTTTGGAAAAATTTCTGAAGAAAACATCAAGAACAACTTTGTGTTAATCTACGAAATTTTAGATGGTAAGTGAATGACTTTCAGTCATTAGGGCTGTTATTTGACACTGATTCAAGGTTACCATAAATGTGACAAGCTTTTGCTTATCTTGGAGGAAATAATCTAATTCTTTATCTATCCATTCCAACCTCTCTGTAATGCTAAAATTCAGATTACTTAAAAAAAATCTTTTTGAAAAATGTGTACAATGATTTTGTGAAAACAGTAATAAATGGAAAAAATTCATAACATGAAGCTTTTGCTGAATCATAGATGAAATGTTTGGTCTCTGATTGTTATCTTGTTCAAATATGCTGTCATCATCATTTTCCAGAAATTTTGGACTTTGGATATCCACAAAATACAGACACTGGTATCTTGAAGACATTCATTACACAGCAGGGAGTCAAGTCACAAGTAAGTTTCAAGTTCCCAGACTTAAATTTGGAAAGGTAAACAATCAATACAATATTTATTTTCATAATACTCCAGTTAGTTGTTCCAAAATATCTTTTTTGAAAAAAAAGAAATAAAGAATTGTAGTTTGTAACTACATTGTATACGTCTAAATTTAATGTAATTTAAAAAAACCTTTTGATTTCCAATTTTGGGGTATAATTAACATTTTGCAAAGTTTTATGTACTGAAACAGTGATTTGTTTTGCTTAGTTTTACTGCCGAATACAGGCTGTTTCCCAAAATGATCCAAAAACTAAAGAATGTATTCCAAATTTCAATACAAATAATGCTATATTTTCCCAATTTATAAAGGAACCGGCTGTTGTAAAAGAATGTGAAAGTATTAAGGTATAGTGTTGACCAGGGGAGGTAAACCACTTGTATTCCAGTAATGGGAGGGAGGTAAACTTCTTATCCCAGCGATATCATAATAATAACCCCACTTCTTTTAAAATGTCTTAGTCTTTATCACTTTCTTCTGTTTTGCAGAGTAAGGAAGAAACCAGCCAGATAACATCACAGGTGACTGGGCAGATTGGTTGGAGACGTGAGGGTATCAAGTACCGTCGTAATGAACTTTTCCTAGATGTACTGGAATCGGTCAACCTCCTCATGTCACCTCAAGGTTGGTAGTACCTACCAATAAAATACAAACCCACAATCTTGTTCCTGTCCTCTGCTGTGCAAACCTCTTACTTTGGGCTGACAGTATTGAAAACTTAGGCTGTATTGTAAAAACTATAGCAATAATCTAGTTTATGTTGTGATATTTTACAATATACATGTACTAGTATCAAGGACATTAGAAATTGTAAACCTCTGCTTTATATTTCCCAACTGTGGGCTAATATAGATGTACTGTAAATGTGAAATTGTCCAATGCTGCCTAAGAAAGGTAATCTGTTAAATAGTAATCAATATACTACCTTTCTTTGACATTTAACTCCTTTTCAAGATTTCAACACTCAGGAAACATAAAAAATATCAGGTTTGAATTATAACACATTGAAAGGTATACAAGCATATATGGATTAAGTCTAAATTGTGTGATAAATGTAATTAGAATTAATTCAGGGGAGATAATTTTTACACAGTTTCTAGTCACGAGATTTTTACGTGATATTTTGTTGTATTTATGAGTGATTTGTTTCTGTAACTTCCAGGTCAAGTGTTGAGTGCCCATGTGGCTGGGAGGATTGTGATGAAGAGCTATCTTAGTGGAATGCCTGAGTGTAAATTTGGTATCAATGACAAAGTTCTAATGGAAAGTAAGGGGAAAAGCAGCATAGATGAGCCCACACCACGCACTGTTGGGTAGGTCCAACACTCATGTTCATGTGTTAATGGTATTATGAACCAGGATTTAAAAAGTATAAGATACATGTTATCAAAGAGTAAATTTAAGAGACTTGGAGGATCGGAGAAAAATCGCAACAATTTCACTTCACAAATTTATGCTTTCTGACCTTTTACATACATATGGCCAATAATTCCCCAATTGTTAAATTCACCAAAATATATTAAGCAGTCCTACATATAATGATATCAGCATCAACGTATGATAAATCCACAGTCGCCATCCTTGCATACAACATCTCAGTTAGCTCCTTTTCTTTAATACTATAATTCTAACAGTCATTAAACTTCATTTAAGATAGGTTTGTATTAGCACTATTCGGGTGCATCAAGTAAAGGTCATTGTGACCAAATTTTCCACTTAATTGAGATTTGGTCCATATCTTTGGTTACAGTATTACCTTATATTTAGTTTTTAGCTCACCTGGCCCGAAGGGCCATGTGAGCTTATCCCATGGTGCAGCGTCCGTCGTCCGTTGTCCGGCGTCCGTCAACTTTTTCATTTAAAATGCTACTTGTCCTGAATGGCTCAGAGGATTTTGACCAAATTTGGTCCTAGAGCATCTTTGGACAAAGGAGACTCAAGTTTGTATAAACCGAGGGTGTGGCCTCTTTGGGGGCAGAGGGGCGGGGCCAAATAGGGGAAATAGAGGATTTTTTTTCTCCTGCTATACAAGTGAAGGGATTTTAACCAAATGCAGTCTGAAGCATGATTAGGGACAAAAGAATCAATTTTGTATAAACTGAGGTGTGTGGGCCTCCTTCTAAGGGCAGATGGGTGGGGCCCATTAGGGGAAATAGAGGAAAACATCAAATATCCTTCTCCTTTTGTACCGATGAAGGGATTTTGACCAAATTTGGTCTGGAGCATCATTGGCCAAAGGGTTCTCAGTTTTGTATGAACGGAGGGTATGGTCCCCCTGGGGGCAGAGGGACGGGGCCAAATAGGGGAAAATAGGTAAATCTTTAAAAATCTTCTCCTCAACCAATTGAAGGATTTTGACCAAATTTGTCCTAGAGCATCTTTGGACAAAGGAGACTCAAGTTTGTATAAACGGAGGGTGTGGGCCTTCTGGCGGCATAGGAGCGGGGCCCAATAGGGGAAATAGAGGATTTTTTTTCTCCTACTATACAAGTGAAGGGATTTAAACCAAATGCAGTCTGAAGCATGCTTAGGGAGAAAAGAATCAATTTTGTTTAAACTGAGGTGTGTGGATTCCCCTTCTTTGGGGCAGATTAGTGGGGCCCATTAGGGGAAATAGAGGAAAACATTAAAGATCCTTCTCCTTCTGTACCGTTGAAGGGATTTTAACCTAACCAAACTTGTTTTAGAGAATCTTTGGGCAAAGGGAATTGAATATTTATAAATGGAAGATGCAACTTTGTTACTTGTACTCCTTTGATAAACCTGAATGGTACTCAGCAGGTTTTAAATTGAAAAATAATAAATACCAGGAGAGCTATTAAGGCCCCCTGGGCCTCTTGTATGTAAGAGCATTAGCAGGGGCACACATACTGGTATGTTGTACAAACATTTACTAGCTGTGTAGACATTTGGTGTTTTTTTGTTTACCAGTGGTACGACATCTACAGGGAAGAGTTCTATTGCCATAGATGACTGTCAATTCCACCAGTGTGTAAAGTTGAGCAAGTTTGAGACCGAACACAGCATCAGCTTCATTCCACCAGATGGAGAATTTGAACTGATGAGGTATCTGCAATCATTACTGTGTCAGCATGCTGATATACATAATTTCGTTCGGAAATCAGGCTTTTGAAAAAGAAACCGATTGGTTGCATGGATAATCGTGTGATGATTGATTATGGTTAATGAAATAGCATTTAACAGGGCAAGAGAAACAGCTACTGTAAGAAGTTGAGTCCGACTCACATCCTACAGAATACTGGCTTTATGGATACATTTGTGCTGCAACAAAATATCTATATACATGTAGTAACAATATCAGAAAAGTTCATAATTCATGCCTTGTAGCAAGGCGCAAAATCTTTGCTCTGACAAGGTTTCTTGCATGCTATGTATATGACTTGAATAGATAGAAGTACTTATTGTGACTTTGTATGTTTAGGTACCGGACAACCAAGGATATCAGCCTTCCCTTCCGCGTCATTCCATTAGTCAGAGAGGTTGGACGACAAAAGATGGAGGTCAAAGTTGTCGTCAAATCTAACTTCAAACCCTCACTCCTTGCCCAGAAGATTGAGGTTAGTGTTAGGACTTCTTCCCCTTTCCGACCATTACCTTCATGTCAAATGTCTAGTCAATCTAACCTTTCTGTCATGCATCAGAATTTCAAGAGCTCCAAGCAATACATCATTTTACTTGCCATCTTGTCCCGGAAAACAAACAAATCTAAGACATTTGACTAATACTAACTTGTAACATATGAGCTCTACATGCCTACTGCCCACTGGTTTGTGTGGGTTTACCCAGCCTATATCTAGTACCAGTGAAAAAGAAGAATTTTGTTCACAACCACTTGATATTTTGAAAATGCATTTTAAGCAAATCCAATGTTATCTGTTAATGAGTGCTAGATTATATTACTTGCACTGTCTGATGTTGTTACAGGTACGCATTCCAACTCCCCTTAACACCAGTGGTGTCCAGGTGATCTGTATGAAGGGCCGGGCTAAATACAAGGCAAGCGAGAATGCCATCGTGTGGAAGTAAGTCTCTCAACTCTTTCGTTATCAATATAACTCTTTTAATATAGGATTGTAATTGAAGGCTCAGTTCCTTTAGTTTAGCCAGTATTAAGAACTCTTTCAAAGATACTGCATGATGTAAATAAAGGTATGTTCAAAAGAAATTTGGCTTTTAAGGGTGGTTCCAGATATTTATGTTTTAAGTCGTTAAGGGTTATTCTAAAAGTTCTGCCAGTTTTAATTTGAGCATTTTAATTTCAATTTAAACAATCTGTCATGTTGGTTAGTTTTGTGTGATGATAAGTAGTATTATTCCAGCTTGTACCAGCCAAGATTATTTACATGCTGTAATGCTTTATAGAATCAAGAGGATGGGTGGTATGAAAGAGTGCCAGCTTAGTGCAGAGATTGAATTACTAACCACTAGTGACAAAAAGAAATGGACCAGGCCGCCAATCTCGATGAACTTTGAGGTAAATATCTTATTATGATGTTACCATGAATATTACTCCCAGTGCAACTGTAACAGTAATTCTATTTGTAGAGCAATATTGCTTCAAGTCTTAATTTAAAAGAAATTTAAAGAATTAAAGATTACCTGTTACCAACATTAAAAGTATTAAGTGAAACATTCTGTGGACTAACATGAATTGAAGATTTAACTTTGTTAAAGTTATTAAAGCTTCTATGGACCAACATGTCCTGGCAAATCTTACTTTGTGTTAATATGAACAGATTTTAACTATTAAAATGTGACAGAACATTACCCAATACAAGTTCCAGGATTATTTCTGAACATTACATAATGTTTTGAGATATGATTGACTAATACTTAGTGAAACAATATCTTCTATGAAAGAACATTGAACCACCATTTTGTCAAGAAGTATCAATGTTTGATTCTGAAAAATATGTTTTTGTTCCCAATGTGATGTCTAACAGAAAAAATGTTGTTAGGGTTTTCTTATTTTTAAGCCCTACTTATTTCATTTTAGAGAAATACGAGAAATTTGCTCCTGGGTGTCTAACATAATCATATAATCACTAATTTCACTAAAATGAATAATGATTTGCTACACTTGGTTGATAAAACATTTCATATTTATACCCATTCCCATTGAAGCAAGGGGGTATATAGTATTTAATGCTATTTCAATGTTTCTGTGCACATGTTTGTAATAAAAAAAATGAATACAAGATATTCAATGAACCCCACAAGAGATTTAGCTTGCTTAGATTTTTATGGTCAGGGTGAAAAGGTCAAAGGTCTCACTTGATAGTTTGTGGCCGTATATTTCTGTGAGCGCCCTCTCACTTGACAGTTTGTGGCAGTATATTTCTGTGAGCGCCCTTCACTTGACATTTTGTGGCAGTATATTTCTGTGAGCGCCCTTCACTTGACATTTTGTGGCAGTATATTTCTGTAAGCGACCTCTCACTTGACAGTTTGTGGCAGTATATTTCTGTGAGCACCCTCTCACTTGACATTTTGTGGCAGTATATTTCTGTGAGCACCCTCTCACTTGACATTTTTTGTTACAGGTACCTTTTGCACCATCTGGATTCAAGGTGAGGTATCTGAAGGTGTTTGAACCCAAACTAAACTACAGTGATCACGATGTCATCAAGTGGGTGAGGTACATTGGCAGAAGTGGACTGTATGAAACAAGATGCTGATCATAACCAACATTTAGGAAGGAATAAAACATCTCAAGAGGATGAGGAGTCACCATTAAAATTTTGTCATTCAGAAAATGTAAACATTACACCATTGTAATTTCTGCATGTGAACTTGACAAAGTTTCTCCCATTGTACCCTCAGATTAGTGAAAGCAGATTCAATTGTGTTTTAATGGTTAGTTGATTTTGTATAAAATAGCAAACAGAAGTCATCTTGTGCAATCTATATGTAAACTGAAAGTAGAACAAATGAGATTTTTGTGCAAGATTGTGTTGGTATTGTATATCACTTACATAGTGTAAATAGAATGAAATATCAGAGATAGGATAGTCACCAGCTTAATGTATTTCAATGTTGTGTATGATAGGACAGTTGTTAGAATACTCTGAAAAACGTTGTAGCTTAATATATAGGGGAAGTGTATCACAGTTTATGTATCAAAATAACCAAGAGACGGACATGAAAGCGAAGGCATATACAGATACATGATTTAGATGAAGGGTATCGCTAAAACTATGGAAGTATGATTGATAATTATATCAAAAAAGTTATTAAATCATTCTAGTCTCGTAATTGTTTTTATTAATATTATAATGAATGTATCGGGTACCATCATCCATTATGTATATCCCTGTTCACACCATTTAGCTTGCAAACAACATTTCCCCCTTCCCATTACAAAAGGAATGGAAGTTAGTAAATACATGTAGTCTGTTGAAGAGAAGGATTTTGTATGTGCTATATCTGCAAAGTGCTACTTTATACAAACTTTTAGAAGTCCAATTTGTTCAAGAATAAAATGATTCAAATCATGTTGCATGTACGTGGTTATACTGTATTGGAAAAGGCATTTGGCTAAATATGATCTCTGTGTTGATAGAAGTCCATTGTCACCTGGTTGTAATTCAATGTCCATTTACAGCAGGTTCTATCCCATTTTCACTTGGTCCAAAACTTGATTGTAATTCTGTTCATTTTCACATTTCATATTTATAACAGTAATGCCATGAAGAGGTATGTAACCTTGGAATATATTATCAGATACAGAATTTAACAGGGATTCCATTGAAAGATTTCATTACTTATAAGGGATTTAAAGTGTATGAATGCAATCTGTCAATTGAAACATGCAGTATAGTTAAGCTATGAACTGTGATTTGATGATCAGACATCACCGAGTACTGTCACTAAGCAGTGAAGTTTTTAACACTAGATGTATTGGTTGTGTAATATTTATGCATACAGTGTAGAGAAATGGAATTGAAAAGAAAATAATATATCAAAACATGATGATTTTTGTTGGGCGTTACCATTCAAACTTATCCTGGTATGATTGAAGGAATAAAAAAAGAGAATTTATTAAACAGTGTAATTGCTGGTCATTGATGGTTTAAATCATTCTCTCAAAACCATTTATAATTTTGGTATTTTATAGAAGGAAAGGGATTTAGTATAAAGTGGTAGTGTAGAAACATTTAAAATTGGTTTCCCTGTCATTTGAAGTATCATTGTAATGGTATATATATATATATATATGAATGTCATGTGACGTCATAGTTATCCTTGGCAAGGTCTGTACATTTATACATGAATAATCTCCTATAATGTCTGAATAAATATGTTCCATGTCCCCATCCTATTTCTGTGTTGTTTATGCTTTCTGAAAAACATTTTGGGGACCATATAGTCGCAGCTTTGTCCATATGTCTGTTTGTCAGTCCTTGCCATCACTTCTGATCATCTGAAGATGTAAAATGGAAAGACGGTATATCGTACATCACTTCTGGGTCTGAACACCAAAGGTCAAGGTTACATCACAGGGTTACATACAGGTCAAATTCGTTGTCTGGGCCATTTTGACTGAAGATTAAGCTCAACGAAATTTGAGGAGTATATAGGATGGCAAGGTGAAGTGTTGCAAACCTCGATTTGGTCTGTATAGTCGTGGTCACATTGAGGTCAAAATTTGAATTCATTGTCATTAGGTCATAATTTTTGACTTTCTGAAGATAGCTTATTGAGATTTAAGGAATGTGTTAATTGATGGCAAGGTGGTGTATCGCAAACCACAATTGGGTCCTTACTCCCAAGGTCAAAATCCCATTGGGGACAAAGGTCAAATTCCTTTTCGGGGTCATAACTTCTGAATAGCTGAAGATAGCTCAGTGAGATATTAGGGCTACAAGTAGGATGACAAGGGTGTGTGTCACAAACCACAATTGGATCTGTATAATAATAATAATAAAAATAATATACAGCGTTTATATAGTACCCTATATAATTTGTAAAATTACTGTAAGGCGCTTTACAACATGTGGATAATGGTAATGGTTATAATTGTGAAAACAAACAACAAAGGCTTGCAATCACTTTCATACATTTAACAAGCAATGTGCACATAATTTAACAAATTAAAAAGGGTGGTATTTACATGACGTCTTTGCAAAGATTCTAAAATGCAGACGGGAAGAGGTGAGTTTTAAGGTCCCTCTTGAACTTGGCCAGTGTATTTGACTTCCTAATAGCAGATGGTAAGCTGTATACCCAAGGTCATAATCATGTTGAGTTCAAGGATCAAGTACATTGTTTTGGCTATGACTTCTGACTTGCTGAATTTTAGGGATATATGTACCAAAAGGGGTGATGTGTCACATACCACTTTGGTTGTTTGTTTGCTCAAGGTCCAGCCACATAGATGTAACACTATTTCAGTCTTGGTGACCTTTCCTTACAGAGAGATCATAATCCTCCAGTTGTACTAAAGTGACCACATGCCACATACATATTTCTATGTTCTATTTCCTTATATATATTACCTTTACCTTCTGTCAAATGTGTTAAAAACTGTTAGCTTTCTTCTGAATAACGTAGAGGCCTGTGATGGTGATATTCGTCCTTAATACCTAAGATACCTACCGTTAGTGTAATGATATTGAGACGTTAGCTTGGGATGAAGGGCCACTGTGTGATTTGGTTTAAATAAATGACCTTGAACTACTTCCAAGGTCACAGGGGTCACTCATAAAATCATTCAAACAAAGGAGGTCTTAGGTCAGTGGGATGAAAATCTGAAATGCTAGAAAATTCCCCGAATAATTGATGTTAACCTTCTTTAAAGGACAAAAGGGTCAAATAATTAAAAACATGGCTTTATGTCAAGGCTCACCTGAAAACAGTATCAGATTACTGGGTCCTACTGTATTTCATAAACAAACAACTGTGGTCCAACCGGTTTAACTGTTTGGATTGCGATAAATAACTTCTTCTGAATAACCATTGAGTGGTCAGACAGGGTTAAATATATTTGGCCTATAGCGTCAAGACTTGAGTCAGCTTCCAGGTTTGCAGTCAAAGCTATCTTGTCGTGTTTGCTTCACTACAGTTGGGTGAAACAGCTAGGTCCTTTGAATCTTTTGCTTACCACTGTTTTAGCTTATTGGGCAACAAATATTGACAATATTCTGTATTTTTTTTTAAACATCCGACGTTAAATAAAGATTATTTTATAAATGGTGTACAATTAGTCTTGGACAACATTATAAGAGAACATTCACTGCATGACAAACATTTCTAAAAGAAGCATGTTTACATAGCAAAACATTAACTGGGCAAAAAAACGTTTCTGTCGTGGTTTTTTTACTGACCACCAACATTTTTTTAGGAAATAAATAAATGAAGGTAGCAGAGTACAGTAGCGTACGGTGGCCATGGGTGATATTTTTATACAATGAATAACCCCTGTAATATAACATGTATCAAAATTTAAAAAAAAAATCAGCACTAAAATTGGCATATACATGATGAAGTGGACTATGTGGGCTTCATAATTTAAAAAAAAGAAAAGTCGAATTTGGTTTGAGACTACAATTTTGGGCATTTACGAATCTGTGTCTACACAACAAAAGCTAGCTTTTCAGGTAGTCTATTTTTGTACTCAGCACATGTGTAAATATTGTGAAAAATCCACCGGAATGACCTATGCTAAAACGTGAGTATTTCTGTTACCGAGTAGGCGATATTTAATTTCAGACAGGTTTTAAGAAAAACAATTCTACTTGCGGGGGTCAAATTCTGGGTTAAAAATCATGATTTTTTGCATATTTTGGTGTTTTTTGATATGGTAACCATGGTTTTCAGAAGTCCCAAATCTGGGGAAATTGCTTTTTGAAAAAAAAAATGTTCTTCTAAAAAATACCTATTAAACATGTAGTTTATAAATATATATATATATGTAGGTGTGTTGTGCAGGATGAATCCGCTATCCATGTTTATCCGAGAGATGCCCTTTATTTTTAGGGTCAAGCCATTTCTACTGTACTCTGCCACCGAAATAAGATTCCGGATTTATGGCAACGCTATCCATTTTTGATATTAGTAGCTCACACTTCCGGTTGTAAGAGACGCTATGTTTGATGTCGAAACGAATATGGCCGATACCGAGGGTTTCAATCTCATTAAGTTGAATCAGCTTTTCCTCGGCTGCATGCAAGAGGACAATATTATAGATTTAGATTCCTATGTAAATGCATACGAAGAATTGAGCAAGTAAGAAACCGCGTCATATTTAGTTTAGCATGTAACATCACACGGAATAGTACCGTGCATATCACAGGAGTCCGAGCATAGAAACTGTTTCTGTTAACATGGAACACTGGGGCACGGTTTAATTTATCAATTTATATCTGAGGTCTCCTTGTTTGCATGGAGCACGGGTTCTCGCATTTATGAAACTACCTTAAGTAATTGCGATGTGATTGGTGTCGTGTTTAAAACGCTAAAACTCTTCTTTCCATGGTGATACTGTAGAGAAAGAATACCATTTGACATTTCACCACTAAAACTGCAGACAGATTACAATATACAATGTACTGTTATGATATTATCTAGGAAGAAATTAACCCAAATTAATGATCAAGCGAATTAGAGTACTATTTACAGTGTGTCTGTGTTTAAATACCATTACATTTAAAAGCTTCCTAATTAACGGTGGTTAATTACTGGTTATTAATAGGGACTTGTTTTATCAATAAATATATCAAAACTATTACCTTTATCGTCAAGTAAATGTAGAAAAAGGTCAAATAATATTGGTTGTTTGAATGAGTGACATATCATTTCCCAGGTTAAGTTATGTAGCATTATTCTTAATACTGCTGTTGATTGAATATCAAGGTTTTAAACATCCTTGATAGTCCAAGGGTTACTTACACTCTCCGAACCCAGGAATATGTCATAGCAAAATAAAAGACAGTAAGACTCAGTGCCCGCCATCTTGATCTTGTGGATGAGACAAGAGGAATTAGATGTACATCAAAATAATCTCAGGGTCACGTAACAGTAAATTTTACTGACTTTGAAGTTTGATATCGCTTCCCTGTAATCTTCAAAGGACAGGTATATATATCAGACTAACAATTGGTCAGGTTTCTTTACCTGAGACCAGTCAAATAGCTAGCCATGTGCCTTCAATTTTGCTATGACATATTCCAGGGGTGCAAGGAGCAAAAGTGAGTGTAACTAACCCCTTGAGTAATGGGGATGGGTTTTAAACAAGCCTTGATAAAGCTTGGTTCACCTTAGCCAGTAGACTTGTGAAACATTTTACTGACATACTTTTAAAATCAATACTGTATTAACAATAACTATGGTAACAAAATGTTCTCTGATTTTCCCCACAGATTGTTTGGTCTCCTTGGCAGTATATTTGGCTTTGTTGTCTCTGATGTTGTGGAAAAGATAGGCATACTGAGAGATTATAGAAAATCTCCAGATGGAGAGCATTATATATCTGTTCAAAGTATGATTAAATATGAAGTTCAGCAAAATATAACAGATAACAAGAAAAAGGAATCAGGGTCCAGGACATTGCTGCGACTTCATCGTGCCATGGAATTCACAGCTCAGCTTATGAAAGATGTGAGGAATGCAGAAGATGGGGGAAAGATGTCGTCCATTACAAGGACGGCATACGATGCTACACTGTCTAAGCATCATCCTTGGCTCATACGGAAAGGTGTGCATGTTGCCATGTATACACTGCCATCACGGAAACAGCTGCTGGAGAAGATAATGATGGCCAATGACCAGTCAAAGGTCGAAGATCTAATGGAGGCAGCAAAGCTTCAGCAACAAATGTATGATGTCATTCAAGATATATACAAGACAGAGAAGCTTCTCAATTTACCATGATTTTTGAAGGAGGATTTTTAGGATTTTTTTTAATTTATTGGTTCAGATATGCTGTCAACATAGTGGTAGTTCACTGCAGTTATGTATGGATAGTTGATCAGATACCTACTCCGTAGAACTCCAAGTGTTATCAGGCCCCAGTATCACAAAAATTGGAACTTTAAGTTCTTTATTCTCAAAACAGATTTAGGTTAATATTTAATCAAATGTCTGAGCAATATTTGGAAATTGTTATACAATAGTCAGTATATACATGGTACATGTGTTATGATGAAATGTATAACAACGAAGAAAAAAATGTTAGAAAAAATAAGTAACAATGGCCACATTGGTCAGAGTTATTTATTTTTCAAACATCTTCAAATACAGCTGTATGTTCCACCATTATATACAAACATAGTTGATTTAATTTATTCTACCATATAGAATGAAATACTTGGTTACTTCTGTGCCTATGAGACAACATTACATAATTCATTCCATTAATTAAAATTTGGCTTTTAGCTTTACCTTGTTTTTAATGCAAGGAAGGCTTTGAGAAGAGCATTGTAAGTGCATAGTTTGTTGCATCCATATGCATTATTGTATAATAAAACAGGTTAATTTATCAATCCAAAATCTTGATGCTTTGCCTAGTGGTAGAATTATCTTCAAAAACTATATGGTGTGAAGTATGTTGACATTAAAGAGGTTTAGAACTGCCTTAGAGTGGAGAATTTTTATGACACTATGTCAGATCGTTTGGGGGAAGGAATATCTCACATTGTGGAGTCACTTATAAATAACACTATGTACACCTGTTAATGTGTTTTACTATACACCATAATTAAAAACTCGGCAAGAAAAATTGTTTTAAAAAAAACACCAATCTTTACTTCTTTAAGTTAATGCTTTTTCAAAAACACATAAATGAGGTTGAAATATTCTGGTCCCAAATGTATTTAATTTCATACATTACATTTGTGCATTTCATGAAAACAGCATTTTTTAAGTGTTTTAAACAAAAGTAACACTAATTTTTATTTCAATTGTAATTTGATAGTTGTAATCAGTTGACAATCTCTGCTGCAAATTTCTGTCTAAACAGATCAAATCATATGTAGTTCAGTACCAGGCCATTAGATCTGACATTTTTCTTGCTCTAGTAAAATAAATTATTAAAAAGATGCAATAGTGTGACAAGTACTACTTAATGTTAAAAGGGAAAGATCAATACTTTTGACACAAATTATGTGATCACTTAAACATTTTATTATACATGTATATATACAGTGAATGTCTTGGTAAGAATGAGGCTGTGATTTCTTTTAGTATAAAATGTAGTGTTTTCCATCTCTTTCTCTTGCAACAAAATTAAAAATGAAACTGTTGGATATTTACAAATACACCAATTACTATTTTAGTACTTGGTTTGAAAAATAATTAATCTTCCTGTATTAGTCTGCTAGTAAATTGGGAGATAGATTTTTATCAAACTGTTTAAATTTACATTTAGCAATCCTATGTATGAATTTATATCTAATTTTTTTTTTTATATAAATTCTGGGAATTTTATATACTTGTGAAATTATTAAACAAATACACCTTGCCAGTGCATCTATTAAGAAAGACGTTGTGTTCATAGAGTGATGCTTACGTAATCTTTATATTACAGTCTTGTATAAGTCATATATTATCATGTTACTGCAGCAATGCTAGGTTCGAAAACAAACTTTAAAGTTGTTAGCTTATAAAGAATACAAGTTTAATTTTACCTTGTTTGTAAAAGCTTTTGTGATATGGTTACATGTACCTGGGGTTACATCAAATCGTTTCAGTATGTAATCTATACATATTATAGGGAAACAAGCTGGCGGATAATTTTCTTAAATTAAGTTGGAACATTCTACTGTGATATATTTATTGAACAAGTTTTGTATGCTGTGGTTTTTTCGTTATTGCTTTGACACCCTAATTTACAATTAATTTACCGGTACACGTTGCACCCTCAAATTTTTGAAAATATTGATTCAATATGAGTATGTCTGTATATAGCATGGTTAACGATCAAGCATAATATATTTGATTAAATGCATGTACTAATTAAATATTAAATTTTAATACATGACATTATATAATAAAATGTATTTTGGTGTCCTTGATTATTATGCACTGTGGCTGTATTGATGTATTAAATGTTATGAAACCCTTGTGCTGTAGTCTTGTGTTTATGTTTGTAAGGCTTTACTGACGCAACTTCCTAGTGGGTATATTACACACTGTTAATCACTTTAAAAATTTCATGATTATTCTTCAAACAATACACGTATGTTAAAAAGGAATTATTTTTTATATGAACAGTATTCAACAGACTTCTCTTTATCATTATCATTGCAAATCATATATAAATAGTGGCACTTACAAATGTAATTTNCAAATGTAATTTTAAAAAAAAACCTAAAGTTTCCCCCCCCCCCCCAAATAAACCCTCAGGTTTACATCTGTATACCTGGTATAGTACATGTACTCAGAGATGTTGAGATATTTCTCGAGTATGTTGAAAATGATGAACAAAGTTTTCTTCACTAGTTAAATTTACTTTAGGAATAAGACAATCTGACAAAAATCATTCCCTGAGCATAGTCAAAATTTAACAATGCCATGTAACAAATGATTTTAATCAATCAGGATTTTAAAAAAAAGATGTGTTTGTAGGTCTTGTTAAAAACCCCTGTACCACTGCTAAAACCTAAGTGTCAGAACGTGTTTAACCCCGACATGCATATGACTATAGCTTTGATAAATTATTTCTGAAAAGAACTTTATACCTTGCAAGGTTTTTACGAGAAAATGATAAATTTGAAATGAAATATAATCAACCATGATCAACAGTGTTCCGAGTGAAAAAAAAACCAGGATTCAAACACTCACCTCAGCCCGGGCTCGTCGTCAATGTTTTAGTTTGAACAACTTCTTCTCAAAAACCAAGAGGCCTAGGGTGTTGATACTTGGCCAATATCATGCATTCAAGTTCACAGGGGTCAATTGTCCTAACAACCTTTAAATGACTTCGTCTGAATTACCAAAAGCTCCAGGGTGATATTTGGCCAGTAGTACTTGTGGATGAAGGGCTACCAAGTTTGTTCAAATGAATGACCTTCGCCCATATTCAAGGTCAGAGGGGTTAATTTTCTTAAAAAACGTTAAATAACTTCTTCTGTATAACCAAAATGTCCAGGGTGATGATAATTGGCCAATAAATTGGTAGCCTTTTTTCTAAATATTTTCTTCAGGTTGTTTAGTATGGATTATGAAAAGTTCTTTGCTACACAGCCAATAAAATGTTCTATGTGACATTTTAATGACTAGTACGATATGTACACTGTCACCTTCATCAGACAAATGACCAGTGAAGCGAATGCACACAAATGTGTTAAATGTGTTTTAGTCCTCTTTTAAGGTTACAATTGTGAGATTAATACCAGGTGAGCAATGCAGGCCATTGGGCCTCTTGTTATCCTATTGCCCTAATCAATTGAGCTACCTTCTCAACAGAAGTTTTATCGAAATGCAAGTTAACATAGATACTTAACTGTTGACAAATTTTGTTACTGTGATTACCTCCCTTCACCCATATTTCGAACAAGTTGTGATGCAAGGTTCAGATGTGCTTAGGATTGAGAAAAGGCCATCAATGAAATAGAATTGAATACAAAATCCTATTCAAAAATCTGAACACTGATAAGTCGCAAGACTTAAAGTTAATAAAGAACTTGAACTTGCTCATGTTCATATCATTTTCATAATAAAAACACTGAAGATTTAGTTGAACATACAGATAACCGGAGACAGCAGGTAACATAATCTCTCCTTTTGGCAGACTTAAAATTAAAACCACGAGCCCCAGCACTGTGACTCTAAAGATGTTCAAATGTAGTACCCTTAGTGCAAGTATGATCAATATCTCTGACTCGCAATACCTCCTTGAGAAATTGTATGATTATGATTCATTAAATAACAAAATTGTGTTCATTAAAGAAACAAGAAAAGTTATCAGGGATTTATTTTTTATTTTTCACAAAATATCAACATCAAATTGTAAAAGGCTATATTGCTTGAATTTCAACGGATAAAATTCAACATGAAAATGTGTTTACAGAGAGTGTACGCAAGGTTTAGCTATATTGGCTAATGTAGACCTGTTAGTTGTAAGGTGTAATTTTATTGGCTAAAGATCTAGATCTGCAGGTGTGAGGTAGTTTGATTGACTTATGCAGACTAAATAAAGTGTGGTTTTAGTGGTAATTGCAGACAGAGTAGTGCAAGTTGTAATTTAAGAGGACTATGTGGACAAAGGTTATCTTGTAAAGTGAAGTTTTATTGGCAATTGTAGAGAAAAAGTTCAAGCTGTACTTTAATTGCTCATGTGGACAGTGTAGTTTTTATAGCAAAAATGTTACTTGAAATTACATGTTTATGGACTGTTTGTCACTATTCCTTCAGGGGTGTAAATTCCTGTAGCTCAAAACTGGTAAAGATGTCAGGATTGGTGAAAGTTTTCAAAAATCACTATCAATGTACAGGAGGGCAGTGGTTGTTTTTCCAATGTTAGCACTCTAAATAGGAAATTGTTCACACAAGTCTTTGCATCAAAACCAGACACATTAAATTTGTAAAGAATAAAACATGAAATATAAGCAGACCAAGAAATGACTATAACATCCATCTACCAGTTATTTACACAATTGACATATAACCTTGCATCCTAAATTTGAAATATAATCACCCTTACACAATAACTTATTTGATACATGTAATACTTAATATTGACAAAAAATATATACATATTTTGTACTGTTTAATTATAATACAATGAGTGTAATAGGATTGAGTATATTTAAATGTCACCAAATTTAACTCTTAAAAATGATGTTCAATTATAATATGGAACAAAGGCAATGAATAAAAAAATAGTGTCCAAGAAATTGTCAAAAGGAAACTGGTCGACACAGGAAAGCTGAATTATAAAGGCCATTTCATTTTTTTTTTATTTAGAAATTTTACATAGCCTCTCTCTTTTTAACAATTTTCAAAATTCATCAATTAAACATATGATATAACTTATATCGAATTCATGATTTGTTGTTCTCCTGTATCGGCAGATTTCGCAGTTAACATGTTAATCAGGTGGTTTTTTTAACCGACTGTATTGGTATTTCATTTAATGTTTGACAGAGCTGCTGACTTACATATCATTATACTGTAAATAACTTCTATTTTCTAATTAAAGTACATACATTCACATATATTCACTATAAAAGATAATCGATTGAAAAGTAAAATATCAAAACCTCTCTCTGATACACACAGTTCTTAACCAAGGATGTGATACACAGTTCTTAACCAAGGATGTGATACACAGTTCTTAACCAAGGATGTGATACACAGTTCTTAACCAAGGATGTGATATAGAATCCTTAGCGTCTGTGAGAACAAATGGGACATAGTATTACATAGCTAGCTAGAACGTGGTGCTGGAAAGTGACAGTTGTGACTTGTTGTTAACTGATCGAACTGGTGAATTTCATCTCAATATCTTGGCTCCCTTTATGTTATGGTAAACTAACATCATTAATCAATCATCATTATTATTTGGACTGCCATTGCTTTTCAGTTTAACTTTTCAGGAAGCAAATTTAGATCATTCAAGAATAATTATAAGTTATATTGCATGTAAAGTATAATTGTAGTTATGGAATAAAAGCAATTCCACATGTCTATATTAATGCTGTAGATGGCACTTGTTTATTGCACAGACATACACATCTACTTGTGTGCTACAACCTTGTCTGTACAAAACTTGCCCTTTCTGCAACATCATGGAAAACATATGAAGGGTAATGCTTATATACCGTATGACAGGTAATCTTGTTGTACAACTATAACTATGGCTAGGCGGACAGTAGTAGACTACGAGTGGTAATCATACATGTATTATCAAAGGACAGAATTGGTAAAAAGATGGAGATGAGTAGACAACAGTTGAAAGGTAGAAATCATTCATACATCACGACATATTTATTTTCCCACAAATACAAATTCAAACATTATTTACTGTGAAAATACCACTTTTCACACTCCGATGCTTTTTAACATATATTTGTAATTTGTTCCTTTTGAGAAAACAAAACATATGAAGGAAAAGAAAAGAAATCAGTCAGTAATGGTTTGGCCAAAGGTTGGATATGCCAGATGATACACAGAATTGTTCAATAATCGTTACCTCATTCACCCCTACATATTTAAACTTGACTTGCCCAGTCTTTGATTTGGTAAGCTTCAAATGTGACTTTGGGGTGAATGGGTTAAACTGTAATAATATCAACCTACAATCTAACACACAGTTCAATACTCCACATTCTCTTTCTCCTGAACACAGTACCGACCACTGCCTATCACCTCCTGCACACAAGACTTGGCCGTTTCCAGACGCTTGGTCTGTTTTTTGTGAATGATGACACGCGGTGAGTTCATATCCACTGTCCGTGTGGCTAGAGGTGATCTTGTATTGTCTTTATTTAGAGAAATGGGTCGCTTAGGAAACAGTTGTTTTGGCTGAGTGGGTTTCACTGGTTTTCTGTGGACAGTTGTCTCTATTTGATCTGTAACACAAAAATTGATTAAATTTAGGTTTCTAAATTTCAAGATGGACATCAGTGTCTTTTTTTTAACATTTTTGAAGAAACAAATGCTCCAAATGTTTGAAGAAACCAAGGAAAGTTCCATCATTACAAGCAAATTTCTCTTTGCTCCCTTCAGAAGCCATTGATCAATAAATTAATGTAACAAATAATCACTAAATGTTTTCCCATTAACAAAGTTTAATAATACTAATTTAACAAACAGATACAATACATATCCACCTGTCTGTAATTTACAAAATGCACATATAGGTATTATTTTTACTCTCTGAGGACTAATATAATCTTCCCCTACCTTGAGAGTGTGATAGAGAACTCTCCAACCTAAGGGGTGATGTTTTCTGGTTGGGCCGAGGGTTAGACAACCAAAAAATAACCCTGAGGGTTGGAGATTTCTCTGTCACACCCTCAAGGTAGGGGATGATTGTTTTCTCCCATCCTATTATTTCAGTCACAACTCCACCGACAGTAGTGTAATCAAAAACACATGTTTGGTATGAATATCGTCATTCACTTTTGATGACGTCACAATTACCGGCGACGCATTTTAGTGACGTCACAATTCAACATGTGCTAATTGGCACGAGGCTATCTCCCCCTAGGGGGTGACAAGCTGATCTTTCCCGGCTAAAACGGGAGACCCACATGTGAAGGGTGGAAGAATATTGTCTTCATACCATGGATTAGGCGTTGATAAGTTGTTATAACTTGTGCCTAATCCCTTGTCTAATTTTGGTAATAAATATGTTTAAAGTAAACTTCATACCTTTGTATACATATTGAACTGCATCTTCACTGGATATTTTCTCTGCTATGGACATCTGATGGAGGCTGTCAAACTCACGAAGCAGTTCATCAGTGTCCTCCAATTTGTCGTCTTGGTCATCAGCTCCCTCATCTACCAAGTTTGGCATCAATGGCACCTTGTCCTGAGTCAGGCGTGATTCTACAAACACAACATCATTCCACACAGTGTTACACAAAACATACCACACAGTGTTACACATAACATACAACACAGTGTAACACATAAAATACCACACAGTGTTACACATAACATACCACACAGTGTTACACATAACATACCACACAGTGTTACACATTACATACAACACAGTGTTACACATAACATACCACACAGTGTTACACATAACATACCACACAGTGTTACACATAACATACAACACAGTGTTACACATAAAAAACCAGTGTTACACATAGCATCTTACCACACAGTGTTACACATAGCATACCACAGTGTTACACATAACATATCACAGTGTTACACATTACATACCACACAGTGTTACACATAAAAAAACCACAGTGTTACACATAGCATCATACCACAAAGTGTTACACATACCATACCACAGTGTTACACATAACATACCACACAGTGTTACACATAACATCTTACCACACAGTATTACACATACCATCATACCACACAGTGTTACACATAACATACCACACAGTGTTACACTTAACATACCACAGTGTTACACATAACATATCACAGTGTTACACATAACATCATACCACACAGTGTTACACATACCATACCACAGTGTTACACATAACATACCACACAGTGTTACACATAACATCTTACCACACAGTGTTACACATAACATCTTACCACACAGTGTTACACATAACATACAACACAGTGTTACACATAACATACCACACAGTATTACACATAACATACCACACAGTGCTACACATAACATACAACACAGTATTACACATAACATACCACACAGTGTTACACATAACATACCACAGTGTTACACATAACATCATACCACACAGTGTTACACATAACATATCAGTGTTACACATAACATCATACCACACAGTGTTACACATAACATCTTACCACACAGTGTTACACATAACATCTTACCACACAGTGTTACACATAACATCATACCACACAGTGTTACACATAACATCTTACCACACAGTGTTACGTATAACATACCACACAGTGTTACATATTACATCATACCACACAGTGTTAAAAATTTGAAAGCTAAGGAAACCGACCAAATAACTAATGCAGAAATTAATGATGTAACTAAAAATATCACAGATATATTTACTACGTCCGCCAACCAGTCATTCGGTCGCAAATCTGTTTACCGCGGAAATATTCATGAAAATAACAAACCATGGTTTACATCAAATTGTAAAAAGCTTCGAAAAGAATTTCACAAAGCCAAACAGAACTATCGTAAATTAAAAAATGATGTTAACAAGCACGCCTTGAAAAGGAAAAGTCGTAATTACAGGAAAGAGGTAAATAAAGCATACAAAACCTATGCATTCAACATGGAAAAGAAAATAAGAGATTCAGTAAAGGAGAGTCCAAAATTCCTATGGAATATTCTAAATAGGTTTTCGGGTAAACCCAAATCGTCAAAAGCTAATATACCAATAAACGAACTATATAACTATTTTAAAAATTTAAATTCAGCTAGCTATGAGGAAGATAATAATGAAGGACTTCTACAAGATATCGATCACGATGAAGTCTCTGAAGATCTCAATGCTGAAATTACCGAAACGGAAATTATTCGATCGATAGAAAGCCTAAAAAATAATAAAGCGAGCGGAATCGATGAAATACGGAATGAATATATAAAAAATACTCTCAATCAGTTTTTGCCTTTATATATAGATTTTTTCAACATCATTCTCAACACTGGGTTAATACCCCAAGAATGGACAGTTGGTATTATTAAACCTATATACAAAAATAAAGGTAACCAGGGCGATCCGGATAATTATAGGGCGATAACTCTGGTGTCATGCTTGGGAAAAGTATTTACCTCTATAATTAATGGTAGACTAACAAAATTATCTGATAAGATAAACCTGATATCCTCCGCCCAAGCGGGATTTCGAAAGGGATATTCCACTAATGAAAACATTTTTATATTGCATTCCCTAATTTCTTTATATTTTTCAAAGGGTAAGAAGTTATATTGTTCATTCGTTGATTTTAAAAAGGCCTTTGATACGGTGTGGCGAGCAGGCTTGTGGAAAAAATTACAAAATAGTAACATTACGGGCAAAATATTTAAAGTCCTTTATAATTTATATCAAAATACCAAATCATGCGTAATAAATGGTAATGATACATCCGACTTTTTCATGTGCAATGTCGGGGTAAAACAAGGAGAAAACTTATCGCCATTTTTGTTTTCCCTCTTTCTTAACGATTTAGAGGATTTCCTCAATCAACGTAATGTTTCTTGTTTGAATGAAGTGTATGCTCTTAGTGATCAAAATTTAGGTTTGTACTTAAAATTGTTTATTATATTATATGCTGATGATACAGTGCTTTTATCAGAAACACCAGATGGCCTACAGAACGCATTGAATGAATTCCAAAATTATTGTAATATATGGAAATTAACAGTTAATACACAAAAAACTAAAGTTTTGATTTTTGAAAAAAGAAAAAGTAAAAGAGACCATCACTTTACGTTAAATAATGAGATTTTAGAAATACAAGATTCGTACACATATCTTGGAATAATATTAAACTACAATGGTGTTTTTACAAAAGCCAAAAGTAAACTAACAGAGCAAGCAAAAAAAGCTTTATATGCATTGTATATTAAGATTAGAAATATTTCCATTCCTGTAGATCTTCAACTGAAATTATTTGATGCACTTGTGTCACCAATTTTATTATATGGATGTGAAATCTGGGGCTATGAAAATACAAAAAGTATCGAAAAAATACACTTACAGTTTTGTAAGGAAATTCTTAACATTCGGAAGAGCACCCCAAATTATATGGTATATGGTGAGTTAGGAAGGTATCCCCTAGAAATTGAAATCAGTGTTAGAATGGTTATGTTCTGGCATAAGCTTATAACGGGTGGATCGAAATTATCTAGTGTAATGTATAAGTTAATGTACAATTTGCACCAGAATTCTTTATTAAGTTTTAAATGGTTAACGTATATACGAGATATCTTAAACAATACTGGATTTAATAATTTATGGACTTTCCAAATATCATGTACAATTAATAGACAATGCTTGAAAAATATCATTAAGCAGAGATTATGCGATCAATTCATTCAAAGTTGGTTTCATGATGTTGAAACCTCCTCGCGAGGGCAAGTTTACTCCTTATTCAAATTTCAGTTTAATATTGAACCATATCTTTTAAAGCTAAATCGTAATGAACGAAAAGTAATATGTAAATTTAGAACATCAAACATAAAATTTCCTATAGAAACAGGAAGATGGAATCGAGTCCCACGCGAGGAAAGGTTATGTCCCCTATGTAATAACTGTGTTGGGGACGAATACCACTACTTATACCAATGTACTAATGTATCTGTTGTAGCTCTTAGACAACTTTATATACCAAATTATTATTATGTCAACCCAACTTATATAAAAATGAAAGGAATGTTCTCAATTTGTAACACGGTACTCTTAACAAAAGTAAGTAAATTTATACAAAGAGTAATGAAGCTACTTAATATCTAAAATAATTTAGCTAAAAGAATTATTGAAATGGGTTGTTATTGTATGATTTGTATCATGTGTCATATTATATTATGTGAGTACTATGTCCATCAATGTATACTATGTATTATGTGACCTCTTGTTACGCACGTATACGTGTGGCATGAGTGTAAAAATAAAACTTGAAAACTTGTGTTACACATAGCATACCACACAGTGTTACACATAACATACCACAGTGTTACACATAACATACCACACAGTGTTACACATTACATCATACCACACAGTGTTACACATAACATACAACACAGTGTTACACATAACATACCACACAGTGTTACACATAACATACCACACAGTGTTACACATAACATACAACACAGTGTTACACATAAAAAACCAGTGTTACACATAGCATCTTACCACACAGTGTTACACATAGCATACCACAGTGTTACACATAACATACCAGTGTTACACATAACATACCACAGTGTTACACATAAAATACCACACAGTGTTACACATAACATACCATACAGTGTTACACATAACATACCATACAGTGTTACACATAACATCTTACCACACAGTGTTACACATAACATCTTACCACACAGTGTTACACATTACATCTTACCACACAGTGTTACACATTACATACAATACAGTGTTACACATAACATCTTACCACACAGTATTACATAACATCTTACCACACAGTGTTACAATATACAATCCAATTAATTAGCAAAACAGTATAGGAGCTACCATTACATCTAGTGTTTCATAAGCATCCAAACATCTTTACCATTTCAACTTTTGATTTGCAAAATATCAGATATTTCTTATGAGGTATGGTCACAAAAGACAAATTATTCACTGGTAAACGTACTTCGAGTTGTAATTATGGTTATACATACAGTGGAGTCTATGTACCTTTGAAGTTTAAAGAATTTAGAATATCTTTCTTCTCTTTCTGAGATTATTGGCAACTTAAAACAAGTCTCTTATATTGAATCGAAATTGGTATTGGTATAGTACATGTATAAATGAATAATGAAAGCTCTACGCCAATATTCAAACTTTTGTTTTGATTACCCTTTGTATATAGCCATATATTTCAATTACTGGGTCCTCAGCATATCTTGAAGTACTTCATATCAGACCAGTCTGCAACGTTAGGCACTAGTCCGATGCCCACGACTAGTAAATTTAAGTCTGGACTAGTATTGAAAATATTTAACTAGTCCGACTGGACTAGTGGCAATTTTCCTCCAAAATAATGGAAATATTATTAATGGTATATATTTTGCACTATAAAGCTTATCACAAGTTCTAATCCTATCGTAAAATACGGTATTCGTCGAAGCTTTGATCGCGAGACTGGGTTCCGGATTTTTAGTAGTTACCGAACATTACTTCCGGTTTATAACCACGTGAAACCAACCATGGCGATGTTGATTAGTTGGAGGAAAGGTTCAAAACCAGCTTAGCTTGTCCGTGAACAGACAGAAAAAAACACGAACACGAAAGAAAAATTTACGATTCTGGCTGGTGCTTGATCGCTCGATGGAAACAACAGTAATACTGTATTAGAAATAATTGGGGATCACGTTCCGTGCTCTGTTTCTTTAGTTAATTATTGAGAGACATTTTGTTTTTATTTCTAATAATTTTCCAATTTAGATCACAATTTACACTTCATGCTGTAAAAAAGACCAGTCTGTAATTTGGACTAGCAAATTCACAGTTGTACTATTAAAATTATGGGTTCACTAGTCAAAATGACTAGTAAGGAAAATAGTTAACGTCACAGACTGTCAGACAATACATTACAATATCTGTTTATGTAATAGTTTAATGTAGCTTTTATGCAAAAACAATTCCCATACATGTACAGTACTATACATGAACCTAATGGGAGTGAACTATGCATTCCACCCTTTGGGTGGTCTACAGCAGGCCAGGCTGATATATAAATAATATTAATAGCAAGGCTTATGCTTTATATAGTCTACACAAGACTGCCAAAATACTAACAATTTCTTAGTCAGGGAGGAACTTCATGAAAGAAAAAGATTAATATGAGACTTTTGACATCTAATCAAATACTCCACACATGTTTTACTTGCAACATGCAATGATGCATGCTTTCTAATAAAAGTACATGTGTATGTACACAAAGTACAAGACCTGCCTACCAGGCATAATGGTAATAATTGGAGTCCTGACTATTCCTCCAGATGGTGACCGTGGATCGAGCAGACTCTCCGGGGTTTTCTCCACAACAATCGGAGTTCTTGTTATCGCCACTGAAGGTGACCTTGGGTCAAACTCATGGTCCATCACACGTTTATGTGTACCAGTCCGTGGAGGTGTGATCATCTCTCCCTCTCCAAAGTCTGTTTTACTGTTAGCCATGCCCATGTTGTTTGGTATCTGAAATAAAGATATTACTATATCAACATCCATCACACTTTCATATAGACATATAATTTATATCTGTTTTCAGGAAAACTGCAAACTATGATGTTCTGTCTGAACTTGTTCACCTAACACAATGAAAGTCTACATATATATATGTAACCAGCACTAGTTGACTGATGATCATATGCTCTATATATATTTGTGTCTGAAGATAAAATTGACTCCTGGCACTAAAGACAATCCTCATTCTCATATAACAACAAAGCTGTTAATTATATAACAATATTCTATTAAAAAGACCATCTTTGGTAAGAAAACACTTCGGAGCCTTCTGTTGGGTGGTCTATAAATTATATAGATTTGAATGTAAATACGTGGAAAGACAAAACAGAAATCATCAATACTCCAACCAGGACACACCAACTCTAGATGGACACATTGAAAAGGCATTTATTAAAACATGTCATATTGGTAAAACTTTCATGATGAACAACTGTATATGTAGCTACCACTCACAGCTGGTGATCATGAGGACGACTACTGATAGGCGACTACTGATTAACTAGTTGCAGATCTAACACAGTATATTTAATTTGAAACCACAGGTAAAGCCAAATGTTGTCAACCAACTACTGGAGAAGACAACCAAATTGCATTGTCAGTGACAAATTACTGATGATAGAGAGAGACTTGTGGGAACCACTAAGTACACTGGTCTGGACCAGTCGAGGCAACCACTGTTTGAAACCTATCACTTGTGGGGATGACAACAGTTAAGGACTGATAAACCAATTGAGGTACAGTGTAGAAATTGATAACCGCTGGTAGGGACCAAATTTTGTTATTCTGTACTTAAATGTTTGGTACTTCAGTTGTTAAAGACAGTTTGTTACTACCCAAAAATCATTTTCAAGGCATTATAAACATTTTGGAATTTGGACTAGCATTTAAGCTTTGGACATAGTTTGCTTTTTGTTTCCTTTGTGTTGCGGATTTCATATTTTCAACACAATATTTTCAACATTTTGGTCTTTTAAAAAAAGTGTCTTTGGCTAGTAAGGCATCCTAATTTTGTGTAGTGGAACTGGACTGGATCGATCACCAGCAACTAGCTAGGTAGTGTTCTTCTAAGAGTTTGGAGGGTCTAAGGTTCAAACCCCAGTCTGGCCATGCAATTATCCTCTCTGTCACATTTGTAACAGGAAGAAATTATAAAGAATATGTGTGTTCACATGGGATCACACTCATAACCCCAGACTTTCAGTTGGTCACTGTTATGCTAAGCTGGGATCGATCCCCCCTAGGGAGAAGACCGAAGGCAACCTAAGACGTACAATAAAAAACAGGTATTTTTTAGGGTATGAAACTACCAGGTAATGAAACATCTAGGATTCCCCACTAGGTTCGTAGTTATTTCACCAGAAATATCAGATTAAAGTCTTTGTTTATTAACAATTTTATAATATATATAACTTTTGTAAATAGAAAGAGAGTAGTGTACATGTGCTTCCACTAGGGATCAAACCCGCGACCCTACAGGCTTCCTAGTTGGACGCTCTACCACTCAGCTAAAGGCAAATTCCTTCTAGCTAGAAGGCGACTGTAATTTTATGTACAATTAAAATCCGACACTCTTTCATCACAAATTACCCCAAATAAACCTTCTTTTATTCCTATGTATGCATATCTTCATTTTCATCACGAATAAACCTTCTTTTATTCCTATGTATGCATATCTAAATATCTGTCTGTTTTTCATTAACAATAATAAGATTGGAGAATATGATTCAGACCCATTCCTTCAGACTAGTAGGCCTACAATGGGCTATGTCTATCACGATAACAACGCGTCTAATAGTCAGTGCAAAAAAATCGTCTTTCTTTTAGTTTTACCATTTAGAGTAAATATCGCACAAACCCATCCAGATTGACCTTATCACAAAGATTTTTATGAGCGCTTACCAAAACCAGACAATTAGTAATCTTCGTGTAAATGCTTACTACAAATACTTACATTCTCTGATCTAAAATTGTTTTCAAGATTTTGAAGTTCCCGCGCTGACCAATCAAATTCGCTGTAATATTTTGTAAAGCACTCAAGTCACCGTTAATCTGATTGGTTCTGTCTTATTTACCCCAGTCTGCATCTGTGGTACGTTTTCCAACAAGCAAAATTAACTACCAAAATTTAAAGCGTAGAATTGACACGGGACAACAGTTTCAATCCTGATGATCATGCTTCTTTTATGAATTATTTCTTAAAATATCTGACTAATCATATACATAAAGTCTCAATTCACCTGACTGCGTTGTCCGTTTAAAAAGGGTAAATATTCTATTCTATTTATTTGTGAATTATCGAATGTTATATTTGCTTCAACATATGTTGTCAACTAGCATATTGTTTTTTTTTGTGGTTGAAATCAAAGGTGCTCGTGTTCTAGAATATATGTGATATATTATCGCACCCCACTAGATATCGCACCCCCTTATACTAATAAATTATTTATTAGTTTATATGATTTATTGGTATAAGGGGGTGCGATAATATATCACATATATTCCAGAAACAGAGCACCTGTGGTTTAAATGTAAATAACGTTTTCCTCATCATTTCTTTATCTAAGCTTAGCGGTGTCGTTCCTGGACAGTACCATATAACAGTTGGATGAGAAAAATGGCCCAATGCTGTTTGTGCTCAATTTAGATTCAGTCAGTTTAATTCATAAGGCAGCGTCGAAAATACGTCAGTCATGTCTAGTACAATATGTTTATTTATTTTTGACATATTTTACTTGTGGTTTGTCAAGAAATGAAATCTAGAATATTTGTCCTCCTCCTCGTTAAGGATGTTTTTGAAATAATAATAATAATATATAACATTTATATAGCACCCTATATAATTTGTAAAATTACTCTAAAGCGCTTTACAACATATGGATAATAGTAATGGTTATAATTGTGAAAACAAAAAACAAAGGCTTACAATCACTTTTATACATTTAAGCAAGCAATGTGCACATAAGTGAACAAATAAAAGGGTGGTATTTACATGACGTCTTTGCAAGGATTCTAAAATGCAGACGTGAATAGGTGAGTTTTTATGTCCCTCTAGAACTTGGCCAGGGTAATTAACTTTCTAATAGCAGATGGTAAGCTATTCCACAACATAGCCAAAACCCTCCCAAAGCATCTGTTTCCGTAGGTCACAATACGGGATTTTGGGACACACAACGAAGATTCTGACTCCGACCGCAGTGATCGTGACGGCTGATACAGGGTAACAAGCTCCTGAAGGTGGACCTAGTTGCTTCTATTTTTCCCCATATTTTTACCTAAGGAAGGACATTTCTTTTTTCACCATTCATGAGGTCATAACATTGGCTTTCTGGACATATTCCATGAATCGCGTTATCATAACATGTTTAATGTTAATCATATTAGCATAACTAAACTACATCAAGGGCTGTTTCACAGCGAACATGTACCAATAAGGCCCTGTGCTACGTCATTACGCAGTGACTAGGTCACCAGTGTTAAGCAAAAATGAATGTAATTTTTGCCTATATGGGTCCAAGCATACAGAATGTAAATATATACACATGTTATATAAGATAAGGAAGTAAAAGGGTCTATCATGTAATGCAGAAAAAATAAACTATTTAATTCAAATCAATTTCAATTTTCAAAGATGTTAATGTTAAAAAACTCCAGAATTGCCTAAATAACAGACCTAGATGTCTATTAATGCTGTCTCCGTATCAATATTTAAAAAATGTATTCATGCTTGCAAGAGTGTTCTCATATCGTTTTATTTGAATTTGTATGTTACCCGTCATAGATTTATTAATTCTTTACTTAAAAATGTTGCAGGTATCAGAAATGGCTCTTGGTTCACTGTCTCAGCATTTGACCAAAATCAGGTCTCCATTTGGGGGTGAAAAGGTGTTCAAGGATGAATGTGCATTTTCTTTTGATAATCCTGTAAGTATGGCATTGTCATGGTTTACTGTTTTTACTTGAAACATGTACAAATGTATACAGAGTCAGAGTTATCTTTCATATTAGAGCCACTATCAATTAATATAGTAAATATTAATTCATTCACCCCTGAAATTTCATGATGAATTATTCCAACCTTTGAATTGGAAGAGTTAAATGGTGTCTTCAGGGGTAAATAAGTTAATGAACATTTCTTCACTGGTTTCATAAATGTTATATACTTGAAATGGATTATCCTGCATGCTCAACAAATAAATACAACTTAATAGGTGTTAAATAGCGACAAAAGCTGCAATCAGGCAATACTTAAAAGAATGCAAACCACTAATGTATTGTTTTTAATTTCTAGGAATGTGATACTGGCTTGTATGTGTGTATGAACAAATTCATTGGGCTTGGAAAAAGATTTGTGGAGAGCTACTACAGAAAAACTGGAAATGCAGTATTTTTACATCTAAAGAGAATCAGAAAAGAGGTAGAGTGGATAAAATGTTTATATGAAATAATTACTAAACACAGAAATTTATTAGAATTTATATGTAGTTTGTAGAATACAACTTTTACTCTACATGAAAATCTAAATTTGAAATTTAAATCTTTTGATGAAGAAAATAAATGTTGTTTATATCAATAACAATTATGTCAGAAAATGAATATTTCAGCTATAACATATAATGATAAACATAGCAGGTACCTTTGTATGTATTGTGGTAAAACCTTCATATAAAATTGTACTGTCATTTCATATCTCAAAATAGTGATATCAAGGGTAAAAGGAAAAGGCATTTAGTTTGGTGTTTGATTGATTTAAAGGGACTTTTAATGTGTTTGCTATTTAATTTAGTGATCAAATGATTGTTTGTTTCTTTAGGTGCCTCAAGAAACAGAATCACCACCAGAGAAAAAGCCGACAAAAATGGCCATAGGTACTTTTCTTTGAGATTAAAATTATTGGTTGATACAACACTATGTGAGATAAAAGTTGTTGATTGATACAACACTATGTGAGATAAAAGTTGTTGATTAATACAACACTATGTGAGATAAAAGTTGTCGATTGATACAACACTATGTGAGAGAAAAGTTGTTGATTCATACAACATTATGCATAAACCATATATGTCCAAATGATGATCGGACTACCTGCCCTTTATAAAAACGAGATTAATACTATTTTGTATTGAGTAAGTTAAGGAATGTTATTACTGTGATAGAACATTGCCTTCATTACATGTGTAATTGTGTCATGTCCTCATCAAAGATGTAACAATTATTATTTTGTCTTTTTCCGAAGTTGTTGTGTTTATATTATAGGTCTTGAGGGTGGATTTAACCTTGATGAAAAGAAGTATGTGTTTGAGGAGCAGAATTCGGTCGTGGTGTTACCGGAATGGACAGTGATTCCCCTTGACACTCCAGATCTCCCAGACATGGTAATCCCACGTAATATTTTCCTGTCCTTGTGTTGTAATATTTATGTATTGAACATGGTAAATGTTCTCACACATTCTCTTTTATACTGATTCTGTGTATCATTGTAGTTACCATGTAATCCAGGACGTGATGAGATGACTAATATATAGCCCTGTGTTGCCTTCTATGATATCCTTCTTATTTATCAATGATAGTTATTCAAAGGAAATTGTATGATTATTCACCGCACTTGTACAAAGATGCTGTTTCTCTTTAAGATCGGGCATGGTGAAAGTCTATTGCCCCACAATCATTGATACTCATTAATGGTCAACACAATTCATTTTCCGCAAAAGTGATTATGGTTACTATATGTGAACTTGTACTTTAATTATTTCTGTGAAAAAATGTCGTTTCCAGAAAGAAGACTTTACTTGGTATGATTACTTCAATGTTTGTTTCAGGTCCAGATTTCAGTGGCTGCCATTTTGGGGGCTGATGACGCATGGAAATTGGCTGAAGCTGCTGCTATGTCTGGAACGTGGGAGGGAGAGAAACGCAAAGTCTCTAAGTAAGTCACGAATGAAGAACTTTTGACTTTAAAAAAGCCCTGATTTTTCATGTCAATTCCTATTTTTGTTATGTTTCTACTCTAGCAATTTTGAAAATGCATTCATTCTAAATGTGTCTTAATGTAGTTTGCAGTTCTTATTCAGATTATGCAGTGAAAGGCAGTTGACCAGTGGATCCATGTGTCAAGCTTGTTTATTGGTTGTGACTTTGTGACAAAGATGTGACTATTAAGGTTATAGCCAATAATAGCTGAGACAATGGAACCCTGGAAGGCTCCCTTCCTGTTCTTCAAATTTTTTTTGTGAGTTTCTTTATTGTCAAATTTGCTAAGGTAAGTCCATTTAGATGTCTAAAACTGCCCTAATTTAGTTATAAAATTTCTAATTTTAGCCCTAAAAATTCTTAATTTTGTCCCTAAAATTCGCCCTTATTTTTTGTCAAATAGTGCTGGACAGCCTGAAATGTGTTACAGACCCATTCAGAGATACAAGTGCCCTATAGTAATCACAGTGTCCATCTGTCTGTCCACACTGCCTTTTCCAGAGATTATCTCAGAATGCAATAAGACTAATCTTTAAATATAGGGAGGGTACATAAGAAATACCTTTTATTTCATAGTCACAAAAATATGGGTAGGGTCAGGTTAGGGGAAACACAACAGTTTATATTTCCTGCCTTAACAATATTTTTAGTTATCCCCCGCTTTCACCGAAACGGGGGATATTAATATGGGTCCGTCCGTCCGTCCGTCTGTTTGTCACGCTTGGTTTCTGTGTAACAACTACAACAAATATTAACCGATTTTCTTCAAACTTGGTCACAGGGTTAAATGCCTTAAGGGCTCAACCAAGTTCGATGACCACTTTCAGCAGACCCCATTTGGTGGAGTTATGGCCCCTTGAATAATGAAAAACGTCATTATCTGCCGCGCTTGGTTTCCGTGCAATAACTACAACTAATGTTAAACGATTTTCTTCAAACTTGGTCACACGATTTTCTTCAAACTTGGTCACAGGGTTCAATGCCTTAAGGGCTCGGCCAAGTTCGATGACCACTTTCAGCGGACCCCATTTGGCAGAGTTATGGCCCCTTGAATAACGAAAAACGTAATTATCTGCTGGGTTTTGTTTCTGTGCAATAACTGTATCAAATGTTAAGTGATTTTCTTCAAACTTGGTTCGATTTTGATGAAAATTGGTATATAGGGATAAAAGGGAACTGCAAATTCAACCGCATCGGTTTTGTTGCCATAGCTGACACACAGAGGCTTCTGATTGGTCGAAATTTAGATATTGTTAGATTTTGATGAAAATTTGTATATAGGGATATTAGGGGACTGCCAATAAAACAGCAGTAGTTTCGTTGTCATAGCAACCACACAGGCTTCTGATTGGTCGCAATTTAGATATTTTGTTATTTTTATGAAAATTGGTATATAGGGGTATTATAGGACTGCAAATTCAATCGCATATGTTCCATTGCCATAGCAACAACACAGGATTCTGATTGGTTCCAATTTAGAAATTGCTCAATTTCACTCAAATGCAATCCTTTTCTGATGCATCTTTGGGACTACGGGGGCAGTTTGGGGGACATCTGTAATGGTCCCCCATTACAATTAGTACTTATTGCTGTAGATATTATTAAGATATTTCAACTAAATTCCTTATGCACATTCATGCTAAGTTTGCCAAACGATGTGATTTGTGCATATTTATGGATAATCAATGAGGCATAGGGCTTTTTTTTCTTCAAGTTTCAAGCTATACTTTGTCTCGATAGCACGATACTCACATGTTTAAACCTAACCTCAATAATGGTAACCTACAATATGTCCTGCAAGCGGGGGATATAAATTCCATCTATGGAGATGATTCCAGCTATGATGAAAGTCTTAGTACACAACATTTAGGATTTCTTATGGATGCTTCTTAGTTGATGTAATTCTTCTGTGCGAAAATAAGTATACAGCTTAAGAAAAACAATTGTGCTTGTAATCTTACCTACCGTAATGTTTAATGCCTACAATAATTTGTTTTGGCAGTTTTCAAAGAAATACCTTTAAAGTTGAGATAACTCTTCTCAACTATATAAACAATATGAATTAATTTTTAAAAGTATAGTTTGTTACCTACCCCAACTACTCTAAATCTTTTTTAAACATGTTGCAAGAATTTGAAACACATGTATTTTTTTGTTTATCCTTATCTTCATGTACATGTTCATGTATGTGTGTGTAGTTTATCTCAACACTATTTTTAGGATAGAATAACATTATTTTATATATGTAACTAACCCATTTGAATGTTGACACAGACATGCAGAGAACCTGAAACAACTGGGCAATGGGAAGAAGATTCCTCCTTCAGGCTGGAGGTGTGAGAAGTGTGATCTGACAACCAACTTATGGCTTAATTTGACTGATGGCAGCATCCTGTGTGGCCGACGCTTCTTTGATGGCAGTGGCGGTAATAACCATGCTGTAGATCACTATGAAGTGAAGCGACACCCTCTGGCTGTCAAACTGGGTACCATCACTATCGACGGAGCAGGTAAGACACCCTGATGTACAGGGAAATGTTAGATTGTGTGGAGGGTACCCTCTGGCTGTCAAACTGGGTACCATCACTATCGACGGAGCAGGTAAGACACCCTGATGTACAGGGAAATGTCAGGGTGTGTGGAGGGTACCCTCTGGCTGTCAAACTGGGTACCATCAGTATTGACGGAGTAGGTAAAGCACCCTGATGTACAGGGAAATGTTTGATTGTGTGCAGGGTACCCTCTGGCTGTCAAACTGGGTACCATCACTATCGATGGAGCAGGTAAGACACCCTGATGTACAGGGAAATGTTAGATTGTGTGGAGGGTACCCTCTGGCTGTCAAACTGGGTACCATCACTATCAACAGAGCAGGTAAGACACCCTGATGTACAGGGAAATGTCAGGGTGTGTGGAGGGTACCCTCTGGATGTCAAACTGGGTACCATCACTATCAACAGAGCAGGTAAGACTCCCTGATGTACAGGGAAATGACAGGGTGTGTGGAGGGTCCCCGCTGGCTGTCAAACTGGGTACCATCACTATTGACAGAGCAGGTAAGATACCCTGATGTACAGGGAAATGTCAGGGTGTGTGGAGGGTACCCTCTGGCTGTCAAACTGGGTACCATCACTATTGACAGAGCAGGTAAGATACCCTGATGTATAGGGAAATGTCAGGGTGTGTGGAGGGTCCCCGCTGGCTGTCAAACTGGGTACCAGCACTATTGACAGAGCAGGTAAGGCACCCTGATGTACAGGGAAATGTTAGATTGTGTGAAGGGTACCCTCTAACTGTAAACTTAAGTGACATAACCATCGATATAGAAGGTTAGAAATTCTAATGTAAAGGGAAGGGACAAGGTAGTGAAAGCTCTGGCCCTCAGTCACTTGCACTTATAATGATTTATTCTAGTGATTCTAGTAGAACAATTATAGTCTTACAAACATCTGACCAGGGATGAGTTTTACTATGATTCATCCTACTAAAATTGATATATATACATAGATATAATGTTTTACCAACAGATGTGTTTTCATATGATGAAGACGATATGGTTGAGGATCCATACCTTGACAAACACCTTGCTCACTTCGGCATCAACATCACATCTCTAGAAAAGGTAAGTCCTTGGCCATCCTCTGTCATTCTTGATCAATGCTTTATTAATGCACATTGATGCTATGATATTTCAGCGTAAAAACACTTGAAGTTATATCCAGTATCTGAGCAACCTTTCAGTATTAAAATCAGTCTATTTATTATTTATGACTTTTAAATAGACAAAAGGTACTAAGGTCAACAAAGCCCTGTATACCAGAACGTTTTAGCTCAGTCTATTCCGTCTTTGCGTATTGCAGAGTTATCTTCTCTTGGGAGCAGGTATTGATTGTTACGTCATTGGTTTGTGTGAGAAAATTGCGTCGTTTTCTCAAAAATTGATGACATTACTCTCACAAATCAAGTTATGTAACAATCAATACCTGCTCCCAAGAGAAGATAACTCTGCAATACGAAAAGACGGAATATTTGACCTATGGCCCGAAAAAATTCCATATTTGCCCAGTGTTACTTGGGTGAAAGGCGAAAGTTTCATTGCAGCATACAATTCCAGGTATACAGTACTGTAATAAGTTGATCTGTTGTTTAATTATTGTTATGTGAATTAGGGAAATTGAATTACTTATATTTGTTCTAGATTTCAGATATTTCGTAATACATGTAGTTGTTCCAGAATTAACAGTAGGGGTGGGATGAGAGGAACTGCTTCTGGGATTTAATAAAGCTGTCACGATACACGATACACTTTACCCACAATTCCATACGTATATCGATATTTGTACCACGATTCGATTATTTCGATTCGATACACCTTTATTTTAAAATATAAACAAAATGAGATATATAAGCCGTCGATACACAGGAACACGAAGTGTTTCCACACTTTTGATTTGAAGCTTGCTGGAGCATCAGAAATTTACATTTCCCTACCGCGGTCCGCCATTTTGTTATGAATACATGTACAAGTGCATCGCGGTGAATCATGACACCTCTATGATTTAATATAAGAAATGTTAGGCATACCTGGTTTTAACCCCACAACCTATAATATATTACTACAGATGCCTCTCACCTCCCCAATACAACAAATTATGGGATAGCCCTAAATAGGTAATTGCTGTTGGAAAGGAAAGTTTTTGATAAATGTTTCCTTTTGCCATAACAGAATGAACAGCCTTACAGAGTAGGGAGTAAATTTAGTATTACGTACAGAATTACCAAGTTAGTAGGTAGAATCGCCATTAACAATTGTAACAAAATTTCAGACAGACAAGACGATGGTGGAGATGGAAATCGACCTGAACCAGAAGATCGGAGAGTGGGATGTTATCCAGGAATCTGGTAGCAAGTTAACTCCCTTGTTTGGCTGCGGATACACAGGCATGCGTAACCTTGGTAACAGCTGCTACATGAACTCTGTGATGCAGGTTTTGTTCACCATACCAGATTTTATACAGAGGTAAGTTGTTCTACAGAGGGTAGGTTGACATTATACACAAACATTGTATGTATTAAATGTGTCCCAACATTTCAAGACCGACTGGTCTCTTTGTCAAGCTAGGACTTAGTGAGCCATTTGTATTTTTTACCTGAACAACAATGTGATGAAATTGTATATTTTTTATGTCACTCAATCTGGGATGCTTCGTCTATCGATAGAAAGCGTATACACACTGCATCACATAACTTCACAAAGAGACTAGTCGGTCATGAACATTGCGATACGTTTTATACATACATTGTTTCTGTATAGTAAAAGTAAAACTTTGATATAACATATTTCCAAACTGATGAATCTTATTGAAGAGAGGTTGATATTATTGTGTAGTGGTGGGTTGTTGTATAAATGAAGTGTCCTTCAAAAATAGGCTGTCGAAAAGAGATACCTACATGTGGTGACTAGAGATGTAGCGAGATCTCTCTCAAATTGGTAGGGAGATTGAGATTTTAGAAGGGACATTTTAATCACCAGGGTACATTCGCATATCTGGTTGAAATGGTTGAACTTGTTGAACCTGTAAAGAAAACGACAGGTACAGATTTGGACCGAGGCTGACCTCTGGAAAATTCGGCGCGTGTAGATTGAGGGGTCAAGACGTACCTGACCGAAATTAAAATGCTTACTATTGCCAGTTTGCGTTATTATCCCCGGCCAAGTTCAATGACCACTTTCAGCAGACCCAGTTTGGCGGAGTTATGACCCCTTGAAAAATGAAAACGTCATTATCTGCCGCACTTCGTTTCCGTGCAATAACTACAACAAATGTTTACCGATTTTCTTCAAACTTTGCACAGTGTTAAATGCCTTAAGGGCTCGACCAAGTTCGATGACCACTTTCAGCGAACTTTATTTGGCGGAGTTGTGGTCCCTTGAATAACGAAAAACATCATTAACTGCAGCACTTCGTTTCCATGTAATAACTACAACAAATGTAATACGATTTTCTTCAAATTTGGTCACAGGGTTAAATGCCTTAGGGGCTCATCCAAGTTCGATGACCACTTTCAGTGGACCCCATTTGGCAGTGTTATGGTCCCTTAATAACAAAAACGTCATCTGCCGTTTCTGTTCATAAACTCTTGCAAATATTATCCGATTGTCTTCAAACTTAGTAACAGGGTTCAACGCATTAGGGGCTCAACCAAGTTTGACAACCACTTTAATCGGACTCCATTTAGCAGAGTTATGTCCCCTTTATTAGCGAAAAATGTCATTATCTGCAGTTTCAGCTTAATAACTCTAGCAAATATTAGCCGAATTCCTCCAAACTTGATAACAATGTTTGTGTTCCACTGTCTTTCCACCCATCTTGGGCACGCTTTGTTTTTCGTGTGATAATTGCTGTAGACATTGTTCATTGCTGTAGATATTGTTCTGTTGTTTCAACCAAATTCCGTATGCACATCCGACTTATGCTAAGTTTGCCAACCGATGTGATTTATGCATATTTACGGATAATTCATGAGGTATAGGGCGGTTTTTCTTCTTCAAGTTTCTAGTTATACATTATGTCTCAACAGCACGATACTCAAATGTTTAAACCTAACCTAAATAATGTTAACCTACATATGTCCTGCAAGCGGGGGATATAAATTCCACGAATTTGCTTGTTTCTTTCTAAAACAATGTCAAGTCACATGCAGTTTTTAAGATCCGTTATGTAATTCAGTGGACTGATGAAAGAAGGCCATACTATTCTTGATACATTGTTTTTATTCTTCGAAACTGTGCATTTTTAGCTCTGCTAGTAGAACGGTCCAAGTGCGTTCGTTTATCGTGGAACATTTCTGTGCCACACATACTGTTTCAACTGGGATACACAAATGTAGCCTAAGTGTTCTTTCACCATATTTAATACATGAATTTGCTATTATGCTGAACATTATTTATAGATTGTGTTTTTTCTTGTAAAATTAACATAGAGCAACTGCTCCCTAAACAGAAGAAGCTATTGTATCCCTGGTTATAGCACATTTTTAGCAAGTAAGGAATTTCTAGCATGAAAGCATGAAATTCAATTGTAGGAAGAGTCCAATTTCTCACAGGGAGTTCCAATTTCTGAAGTAGAAATTTAGGGAGACTCCTTGTGATATTGGGCACATGCATGAACATGGGTTGTATTATACAGAGGTGGGCAGAGTACCTAGTAATGCACTGACAAATAATAAAAGTGGTGTTTCTTACATCGTATCCCTACCCAATATGAAGTTGATTCGAAAACTTCTTACTTCAGAAACAAAAGCTTAATTTAAGATACTGTATTGTGTTTCACAGATACTGTAACAACGCTGCTGACATATTCCAGTGTGCCTCGGACGACCCATCTGCTGAATTCATTGTTCAAATGTGAGTAGAACTCCAGCTTCTGGACAAGGCATCACGGTTAACCTTCAGCATTAATGTACAAATAATTACATACTTCCTTAATTTATTTGATCTTCATTAAGGTATTCCTATAGTGATTATAGATTACAGCTCAGAATCAGAATCCTTTCCAAATGTTATTGGGAGAACATATAATTACTGAAAGATTGGATCTTTGTGTCCATTAAAGGGACTATAATCTGACATAACTTATAACTTATTTACATTTGAATTATTTTTTCAATTATAGAATTTATATTATTTATTATTGTCGTATTATAATTATATATATAATAGTGCCATAAATTAACACACAAAACTTCATCACAAAGAACATAGATACTATGCCTATTTTCAGCTGTATGTAAAAACAATGTGTAATAATGTTTATTAATGTTTTATCTCATTAGGGCCAAGTTAGGCAAAGGTCTCAACAGTGGGGAGTACTCCAAGCCTCCTCCCGAGGGTGTCAACGAAAACATACAGGTAAGGTTTGTGCAGTAGGATTATACTCCAAATCTCTTACAGGAAACTTATGGCCTAATACTGTGATAGTTACAAATTGCCTATTGTGGCTTATGTGAATTTCTTTCAGTGTATCATTTTAGCTGTTCAATATCCCTATTTTGATGTAATAATCACTTAAATCTGGTGAAAACAGATGCACAGCAGGAGCATTCATCAACTCATGATCACAGCATAAAAATGTGTTGATGATGTAGGATCAACAGTGTTTTCCATTGTCTGATTTCATATATTGAAGCTGAGAAATATTACCAAAGGAAATCTTTAACAGTGTGCTGCTAAAACAGTATTCACCAACAAACAAAATAAACAGAACTATTAAACAGAAAATGCTCACAGCAGTATTTAAATGTTTAGTTATTACACTTCTTATTCCATTAATAAGAAATTTGAATGTGAAGAAGATGAATCAGTTTATAGAGAAATATCATCTTTTGACCACTGTTTAACATGTTAACATATTTGTCAGTAAATCTGTAGTAGTAATGACTGATCTATTACAGCCCCCTACAGGAGTGCGACCACAAATGTTTAAGACACTGGTTGGACAAGGCCATCCCGAGTTTTCTACAAAGCGTCAACAGGATGCACAAGAATTCTACTTGCATTTAATTAATCTCATAGAGGTAGGCACTAACCCCATAGAGGTAGGCACTAACCCCATAGAGGTAAGCACTAACCCCAAAAGTAAGTTAATAAGTAAATGGAGTTTTTAATGGAGTTTTTCATTATAAATCTTTTTAATGGTAAACGTCAGTATTGAACAGCTTTCAATTGGCATTCATATTCAATATGAATGCCAACTGGAGCATGGCAAATTCAACATGGAGTTCATGTCACATTCCAGATGGCATTCATATTGACTCTGAATGCTAAATGAAAAGCGTTCACTACCTAAGTAACAGATATTCATAAAATTTAATAAACAGAAAAGAATGAATTTCAGATTTTTGTGGAATTAATCAAACAAAGATTTAGGTTATTGTTCTGAAGAAATGGTAAAAAAAAATGAGTATTGTTAATCCTGTTATTCAGAGAAACACTGGAGGACAGGTAAATCCAACAGGGAGTTTGAAATTCCAAGTGGAAGAGAGAGTGGAATGTATGCAGAGTCACAAAGTGAAATACACCAACAGATGTGACTATTGTCTAGCACTACCTGTTCCTTTGGAGGCTGCCGTTAACAAAGGTACACTTTAAACTGTATCTATTGGATATCATTAACATCATGTCTATTCTAGCCTATTAGAACTGTGGTGTTCTGTTCAAAGGGAATGGTTTTAATTTAACTTGGAACTTCCTTAAATCAGACGCTTCTTTTCCGTGAAAAACTTCTTCAAGCATCTTCAATAAGATTCATCAGTTTGGGAGTATGTAATATCAAAGTTTTACTTTATACACAAACAATGTACATATTAAACGTGTTGATAGCTTGACAAGGGGCCAGTCGGTCTTGAAACATTTAATGACATGTATCGAATGAACAAAATGGCCGACCGACAGCCACCTTCGATTTTTGTTTTGACATTGAAAGTTTGCTAGTACAAATGTACTATTTCTCAGGAATAACTTGAGGGATCTTTCTCAAATTTGATATGTAGGTTCCCGTTAAAAAAATGGCTAAAGGAAGAACTAAACAGATCTTTCTCATATTGCAATGATTGATTCTATTTCTTTCACATTAAGTACTGTACTAGTAAATATGTGAAATGACAAACTCACTTTGAAGGTTGTCTTTTTATACACAGCAGTATTAAGTTTAGATCAAAAGTTACCTCAAGGTACATTTACTGTTAACATGACTCGATCAAACAGATTAGAGAAAAGAAGAGAAAAGATCGAACTGACAAAGAACTAATGAAAATGGTACAATGGTGGGCGCCAAGATCCCTCTGGGATATCTTGTTCAATATTTGCAAGGTTCTGGTAATTTTTATGAATTATTGAAAATTGTTACAGTGATTTTCAATTGCTATAATATCATCATATTCACTCAGGGTGTACAATTGCACAAGCCATACACATACAAGCTAGTAGATTTTCTGATAGTTTTTTTTGAAAACTTTCAATATTCACAATGAAAAGATTGGCCAGGCAAGTAGGCAAGTAGAATCTTTTCAAAATCGACTTGAGGTCTACTTCTTTAGATATGAAATTGTACACCCCTGACACTGTATAGTGATTTACATGGATTTGTAACTTGTGATATGATATCCACCAATCATATACAGATTCACAAACTTGTTGTAAGATTACTTGATATTATTGTTTTGAATTTTAACAGTTGAAGTTGCACAGTATGAAGCAAAGAAGAAAGAAGTGGAAGCAGAGGGAAAAAGAATGTATGTTTAAATTTTTTCCTGTTGGAAAAAATAAGTTAACCGTAACTTTCTACTTCATTTAGTGTATGTTGAATTTATGTAATGCATGTAAAGAATTGTAATATTGTTTCAACATTGCAAAATTCATTTTTTTTTGCTCTGTACTACAAATGAAATCAGAAATCAGAAATATGTATTACTACAATGTAAAAATGTACCAGCAATGTTTTTTATCACTAGGGATCCAAAAGAACTTGTGCGACCCAGAATTCCAATGTCTGCATGTCTTCAGTGTTTCCAAGGCGATGAAATTGTGGATGACTTCTACAGTTCTGCAGTGAAAGGAAAATGTACTGCTAAAAAGTAAGAAATATGTATGGAGAACATTGTTGACACTAGTATTGGAGATATTATTCTCTTACCCTGGACAGTAGTATCCACACTTTTACCGGTGTGAGATTTCCTTGTCTCACCCTAGGGTTGAGACGGGGGGGATTCCCCTATTCATAACAATGGTATGACGTCACTTTAACAATACAATGACGTCACATTAACAATCCATCAACGTCAAGTCAACCCTGAATTTGTCATGTTACAATATCATTACGTTGTGTATATGATAAACAATGGGAGAACAGGGTAAGAGAAAAAGAATCATTCACCGCCTTGTGGGTGAAATAGGTGAAATATTCCTAAGTTGCCAAACACAAGGCTTTGGCAACTTAAGAATCTTCCCCCTCGGTTTGAGATTCCCCTATCTCACCCCCAAGGGGGTGAACGATTCTATTACTCTAACACACCAACATTTCCACTTTCTTTCCTATTTTTAGCTCACCTGCCCGAAGGGCAAGTGAGCTTATGTAATGGTGCGGCGTCCGTCGTCCGTCCGTCCGTCCGTCCGTCTGTCTGGCGTCCTTCTGTCCGGCGTCAACTTTTTGCTTTAAACAACTTCTTCTCAAGAACCAAAAGGCCTAGGAAGATGATACTTGGCCAGTAGCATGCTGGGATGAAGGGCTACCAAGTTTGTTCAAATAAATGACCTTGACCCACTTTCAAGGTCACCGGGGTCAAATATGTTAAAATCTTCAAACAACTTCTTCTCAATAACCAAAAGGCCCAGGGTACTGATATTGGGCCTGTAGCATGCTGGAATGAAGGGCTTCCAAGTTTGTTCAAATGAATGACCTTGACCCACTTTCAAGGTCACTGGGATCAGATGTCTTTAAAATATTCAAAAAACTTCTTTTCAATAACCAAATGGCCCAGGGTACTGATATTGGGCCTGTAGCATGCTGGGATGAAGGGCTACCAAGTTAGTTCAAATGAATGACCTTGACCAACTTTCAATGGTCAAAGGGGTCAAATATCATAAAATCTTCAAACGACTTCTTCTCAATAGCCAAAAGGCCCAGGGTACTGATATTGGGCTTGTAGCATGCTGGGATGAAGGGCTACCAAGTTTGTTCAAATGAATGACCTTGACCCACTTTCAAGGCCACTGGGATCAGATGTCTTTAAAATATTCAAAAAGCTTCTTTTCAATAACCAAATGGCCCAGGGTACTGATATTGGGCCTGTAGCATGCTGGAATGAAGGGCTACCAAGTTTGTTCAAATGAATGACCTTGACCCACTTTCAAGGCCACTGGGATCAGATGTCTTTAAAATATTCAAAAAACTTCTTTTCAATAACAAAATGGCCCAGGGTACTGATATTGGGCCTGTAGCATACTGGGATGAAGGGCTACCAAGTTTGTTCAAATAAATGACCTTGACCCACTTTCAAGGTCACAGGGGTCAAATGTCTTAAAATCTTCAAACAACTTCATCCATTAACCAAAAGGCCCAGGGTATTGATATTGGGCCTGTAGCATGCTAGGATGAAGGACTGCCAAGTTGGTCCAAGTGAATGACATTGACCCACTTTCAAAGTCACAGGGGTCAAATGTCTTAAAATCTTCAAACGACTTCTTCTGAATAACCAAAAGGCCCAAGGTACTGAAATTGGGCCTGTAGCATGCTGGGATGAAGGGTTACCAAGTTTGTTCAAATTAATGACCTTGACCCACGTTCAAGGTCACAGGGGACAAATGTCTTAGAATCTTCAAACCACTTCTCAATAACCAAAAGGCCCAGGGTACTGATATTGGGCCTGTTGCAGGCTGGGATGAAGAACTACCAAGTTTGTTGAAATGAATTACCTTGACCCACTTTCAACCTAATGTCCTTGTTTACATTCAAAGTCACAGGCGTCGTATGTTTAAATCTTTTAATATGTTCTTATGAATCAAACACTGATATTCTGCCTGTAGCTGTATTTTAGTCCACTTTTAAGATTACAAGTGTGAGATTAATACCAGGTGAGTGATGCAGGCCCATTGGGCCTCTTGTTACATTTAAGATTAATTTCATTGATACTGCTATCAAGTAGAATTTAAATCATTCCTATATTCACTGTTTTAGTATTTGTTTCACTGCAGTAACAAACAAAAACTGGGAAGAATGAATATACACAGTGAAAGAATCGTGTGTAACAGTATAAGGTATATCTTTTCAAAATGACTCCTTTCAAATTGGGGAATTTGTTTTACAGCAGTTTCTTCTTTCTTCAGAATGTTATTCGTATATAAGTAATTGTAAGGTTTTGTTAGTACTGTTGCAAGAGGAGCATCATTGTTTTGCTTTGTTCTATTTTCAGAACCACACGTCTTTCTTCCTTCCCTGATTATCTAATGATACAGTTAAAGAAGTTTACAGTTGGACAAGATTGGGTCCCTAAAAAACTTGGTAGGTCGCATAGAAATATATAAGTATAAGCAATGAAATACAGACAACATTCAAGAGCAATTCAATGTTTTTAACTTTAAAATGATAGGACATGTCCTTCATGTGACATTTAATCAGATTTGGTGTCTGTGCTGCCCTAGTGAATGCAAAAATGCCCAATTGATTTTGGATGTACACTAGAGGTCAAGGTCAGCATTGCTAAAAATAAAATTCTGCTTGTCCAGATGAAAACTTGAGGATGAATGACCATGCAAAGTTCAAAATTGATGTGAGGGTTGCCCTAGTGGATGCAAAAAAAACTATTGATTTTGGATGTGGTCTGCAAAAAATGGAGGACAAGGTCAATGGTGCTAAATAATTTAATATAGATTTTTGCTTCAATATGTTTGTCCTGAAAAAAACTTCAAACTTAGTTTATTGCGAATAAACCAATTGATTTAAGAGGCAGGCAGTCCCCATTGCTAAAAATAGGATTTGCTTTTCCGCAGGATAACTTAAAAACTTGTGTATTCCACTAGTCTTTAGTGTTACTTGTAAATGGATGATTGTACAAAATCTGCATTTCATATGCAGAGATGGGGTAGCATGTCAACATGGAACAAATTGTACCTATTTCTACACAAGTATCCTGCTTTTCTCAAACGCAAATCCTTGATGGGTCAATAGCAAACCCAGCACATGTAATTTTTTCTGATGATGTGCTGCCTCTGGTGTCTCTCTTGCTATATATTAGAGTGTTTTGTCCTATATAGGTATCAGCATTAGTCCTATCTATGTATTAACTGTCACCGATCTCTTACAGATGTTTCTATAGATGTTCCCGAAGAGCTGGACCTAGCATCACTGAGGGGGAGTGGTCTAAGGACCGGAGAGGAGGAGCTACCACAGGAGCATGAAGGGCCACCAGGTAAATTATGTTTGTTGTCTTCTCTCAGGTATAAATGTAAGTTATTGTTATCTAGTAAACAGACTATATTGACTGGATAGCATGTTGTTGTTATTCCAAGGTCTGTATCACAAAAAGTTAAGGTTACCTGTGGTCAAAGAAGAAAAACTTGTGTAGTCTGAACATTCTTTATGTACAAGCCTCCTTATGAAACTAAATAGTTGAGTGTATCATGACTATGTACCCTAGTATGTGTGTTGATGTTACAGTGATGGAGTACCCTGGTAAATGTGTTCTATGTGTTGTTATTATCTGAAGTTTTGAGTCATACTGTTCTGAAATCCATGAATTGTTTTACATCTGCAAAATCTGCACAAGTATTCCGTCTTTGAGTATTGCAGAGTTATCTTCTCTTGTGAGCAGGTATTGATTGTTGCGTCATTGGTTTGTGTGAGAAAATTAAGGCGTTTTCTAAAAAATTGATGACGTTACTCTCACAAATAAATGACGTGACAATCAATACCTGCTCACAAGAGCAGATAACTCTGCAATACGCATAGACGGAATAGTCCCTCACAAAAAATCAGGAAATGTAAACAGCATGGAAACTGTTGTTACAGCGGTGGAGATAAACGAGGCAGTGGTGGCCCAGCTCATGGACATGGGGTTCCCATTTGAGGCCTGTAAGCGGGCAGTGTTCAATACTAACAACAGTGGAGCCGAGGCTGCCATGAATTGGATCATGGAACACATGGAAGATGCAGGTAAGTGGGAATGTAGTTTAATGTATTTTTAGCCCACCATCATCTGATGGTGGGCTATTCAAATCACCCTGCGTCCGTGGTCCGCCGTCCGTTGTCCGTATTTAAACAATTCTTGTTACCGCTATTTCTCAAGAAGCACCAGAGGGATCTTTCTCAAATTTTATATGTAGGTTCCCCCTGGTCCTTAGCTGTGCAGGGCAATTTTTGAGACTGATCGGATAAACAACATGGCTGATAGGCAGCCATATTGGGTTTTGATAGTGAAAGTTTGTTATCGCTATTTCTCAAGAAGTAGCAGAGGGATCTTTCTCAAATTTTATATGTAGGTTCCCCTTGGTCCTTAGCTGTGCAGGAAAACTTTTGAGACTGATCGGATAAACAACATGGCCGACAGGCAGCCATCTTGGATTTTGATAGTGAAAGGTTGTTATCGCTATTTCTCAAGAAGTACCAGAGGAATCTTTCTCAAATTTTACATGTAGGTTCCCCCTCGTCCTTAGCTGTGCAGGGCAACTTTTGAGACTGATCGGATAAACAACATGGCCGACAGGCAGCCATCTTGGATTTTGTTAATGAAAGTTTGTTATCGCTATTTCTCAAGAAGCACCAGAGGGATCTTTCTCAAATGTTAAATGTAGGTTCCCCTTGATCCCTCATTGTGCATGTAAAAGAAGAACTAAACAGATCTTTCTCATATTGCAATGATCGATTCTATTTCTTTCACATTAAGTACTGTACTAGTAAATATGTGAAATGACAAACTCACTTTGAAGGTTGGCTTTCATACACATCAGTATTAAGTTTAGATCAAAAGTTACCTCAAGGTGCATTTACTGTTAACATGACTCGATCAAACAGATTAGAGGAAAGAAGAGAAAAGATCAAACTGACAAAGAACTAATGAAGAGTGTACAAAGGTGGGCGCCAAGATCCCTCTGGGATCTCTTGTTATTAGAAAAAGTCTTTTAATTTTAATTGATCTTTCTTAGTTTAATATGTAATAAATTCTTTGAAACTGCATTGTACTGATATCATTTATTCAGTATTAGACATCGTACTGATTAAATTCATTGTACATATTTATTTAATACATCTAAATTGTGTTGATTGAATCCATTGGTCTACATTGTATTGATTGATGTGAATATCTCCAGATTTCTCTAGTCCTTTTACACCACCTGGAGCTTCGAAAGCATCAACGGGAGCCTTCACACCAAACGAGGATCACCTAGTCATGATCATGTCCATGGGGTTCAGCAGGGACCAGGCCATCAAGGCACTCAAAGCCACGGTAAGTGACACTGAAGGCCACGATAAGTATCAAACTAGTTTATTAAAATAAATGACCTTGACCTGCTGTTAAGATCACAGATAGCTTTTTCATGAGATCAGTAGGGTATAGAATAATGATTTTTGGCTCAGAGCTTTTAAGGATAAAGAAAACATCTAACAAGATTTCGGAATTTCACCAAAAATAAGTTGGAGACATAATTAAACACAAATTTTTTTTAGGTTTTAAGTTCTAATTGACAGAAATAGAAGGCTTGTGTGACATGATACTTTCTGTCCTACAGGACAACAATGTGGAGCGAGCAGCTGACTGGATCTTCAGTCATGTTGATGAACTATCTGCTCCCATGGAAACAGAGGAGCCAGCAGGTGCTGGGGCCGGCCCATCTCAGCCAGCCTTCAGGGACGGACGGGAAAGTATGTCCAGCTTGACTTACTTTAAGGGCTCGCTGTCTATGACATCTTTCCCCTAACTATGAGACTCTGTCTGTCCCAACATGTTTTCTTGTTTAAGCCATAGGTTGAAAAAACTCATTCAACACATCAACAGTATTTCACAATGTCAAGTCTTTTTCTTATTATGTAGTTTATTGCATGAAGAAATTTATCCACAATTGTTTGCATAATAAATGAATGTTTAGTTAAGATATGAAATGTTACGTTTTATATGATGCATCTACAATTGTACTTTTAATGTTTACTATTTAAAACATTACTCATGATAATCCCAGATTAATAGTCAGTTGATAATCAAACAATACTGGTGGACAAAATAAAACTTCAAACAAAGGATGGACTAATGATAATGTATCACATTACCGTCATGATTAGCGGTTTCAGATTCTATGGTATTCATCTTTCTCTAATTAATTCAGTTGATCAATGCATAACACTGAATGTGTTCCAGCTTAAAAGGTGTTTCAGTAGGGCTTTGTGACACAATATTTCATAAACATATGCGACACAAACTTCCTCTTCATAATGGCTAAAAATTGATTGTATCAATATTGTAAGATAAAAAAGGTGTATAAATTGTTTAGAAGTGTTTTCTTACCTGCCTGAAGTTTTAAGTCATTAAGAGTAAAAGTGATTATTGAATATTAAGTTTAACAAACAAAATAAAATACTTTTTGTTGTTTCCATAGAATACCGACTAAAAGCTTTCATCAGTCACATGGGGACGTCTACAATGGTCGGCCATTATGTCTGTCATATCCGCAAAGACAACCGCTGGGTAATATTTAACGACGAGAAGGTGGCGCTGTCTGAGAACCCGCCCCGAGATCTGGCGTACCTGTACCTGTATGAGCGAGTGTGAGGACTGTTAAGTTTGGACAGTGGTTGTATTTTATGTTGCAAATGTGTTGGCTGATCATTATTTATGTCCTGTACTAGAAATAATCAGAATTTACTCAAAGACACTTTTACAAACTGCACAGCAGGATTGTTGTCATTCATATATATTACAATAAAATACTTTTCATGAAATTTTGATGAATAATATATATGAAAGCAAAGACATTAAAACCTGAAGAATGGTTACTGGTTTACAATATAATCATGGCTAAAATACTTATGTATGAGAACTTTAAAACTTTGAATATTTATTTCCTTTGCCCATGTTGTATCAGGGCACTTTTTTTTTCGATTTAAAAATGTATTGAAAAAAAGTCATTGGCCCAAAAATTTGGGTAGTAGTGAAACAATTGTTTACATCAATAATTATATCTCATCTATGATTTTCTGTCTGCACAAGAAGAAAGTTATTATATGAAAAATTATAATTGAGGTAGGTGGGGGTAAAGTTAAAAAAACTGGAGAAAACTGGAGCATATACAGGCTAATTATTAAATAATGTATAAATGTAATTCAAATGCAAGCATATTACTATATTAGTAATATAGTAGTATGGTTACATTTGAGTTACATTTAGCATACACTCACAGGAAATCTGTTTATAATGGTAACATTACTCCATCGATGTTCCAGTAAACTATTAATGTCACCCAGACGGAAAAAACCAACAGTGTACAGTTCAAACACATAAAGTTATGATTTAGTTTGTACAATTACATGTATATCTAATTCTTAAGTATGTTATCCATCCAAATACAGATCTGTGGTATAGCATACATAGATTATTGAAGGTTCTATAAACCTGTCAATCTGATGTAGTCCCTTGTAGGTAATCAACAAATGTCCATTTCGCTGTATGACTTATGTTTCACAAAACATCCTAATTTAAGATTTTCCTTGCACTAAATAATCGTGTAGAGATATTTTGTGGAAGTTAAGTAATTAAAGATAATTAAAAGAAGTGGATCTTGTTTTCCTAACATTACCTTTAGTATGTTTCTGATATTAAAAGAGATAGACTTATATAAAGCACATTTGCCTTATTTAATAGGTTTTTCAAGTTATGGTAAACAATCTATAGATTGTTCACACAACATCGACATTGTGATGGAATAACTATACACAAGTTATGGTAAACACACTATAGACTGTTCACACAACATGGACCTTGTGATGGAATAACTATACACAGGTTATGGTAATCTATAGATTGCTCACACAACATGGACATTGCGATGGAATAACTATACACAATGTCCATGTTGTGTAAACGATCTATAGATTGTTTACCGCAACTTGTGTATAGTTATCCCATCACAACGTCCATGTTGTGTGAACAACCTATAGATTGTTTACCATAACATGTGTATAGTTATTCCATCGCAATGTCCATGTTGTGTGACCAATCTATAGATTGTTTACCATAACTTGTGGATATTTATTCCATCACAATGTCCATGTCGTGTGAACAGTCTATAGATTGTTTACCATAACTTGGGAATAGTTATCCCATCACAATTTCCATGTTGTGTGAACAATCTATAGCTTGTTTACCGTAACTTGTGTATAGGTATTCCATCACAATGTCCATGTCGTGTGAACAGTCTATAGATTGTTTGCCATAACTTGTGGATAGTTTTCCCATCACAATGTCCATGCTGTGTGAACAATCTATAGACTACCATAACTTGTGTATAGTTAGTCCAGCACAATGTCCATGTTGTGTTAACAATCTATAGATTGTTTACACAACATCGACATTGTGATTGAATAACTATACACAAGTTATGGTGATCTATAGATTGTTCACACGACATGGACATTGTGATGGAATAAATATACACAAGTTATGGTAAAAAATCTATAGATTGTTCACACGACATGGACATTGTGATGGAATAACCATACACAAGTTATGGTAATCTACAGATTGTTCACACAACATGGGCATTGTGATGGGATAACTAACCACAAGTTATGGTAAACACACTATAGACTGTTCACACAACATGGACTTTGTGATGGAATAACTATACGCAAGTTATGGTAATCTATAGATTTTTCACACAACATGGACATTGCGATGGAATAACTATACACAAGTTGCGGTAAACAATCTATAGATCGTTTACACAACATGGACATTGTGGTTGGATAACTATCCACAAGTTACGGTAAACAATCTAAAGGTTGTTCACACAAAATGGACATTGTGATGGAATACCTATACACAAGTTACGGTAATCTATAGATTGTTCACGCAACATGGACATTGGGATGTTATAACTATACACAAGTTATGGTAATCTGTAGATTGTTCACACAACATGGGCATTGTGGTGGGATAACTATACACAAGTTAGGGTAAACAATCTATAGATTATTCACGCAACATGGACATTGTGATGAGATAACTATACACAAGTTAGGGTAATCTATAGATTGTTCACGTAACGTGGCCATTGTGATGGGATAACTACCCACAAGTTATGGTAAACACACTATAGACTGTTCACACAACATGGACCTTGTGATGGAATAACTATACCACCGTTACGGTAAACAATCTATAGATTGTTCACCAAACATGGACATTGTGATGGAGTAACTATACACAAGTTATGGTGATCTATAGATTGTTCACACGACATGGACATTGTGATGGAGTAACTATACACAAGTTATGGCAATCTATAGATTGTTCACACAAAATGGACATTGTGATGGGATAGCTATACACAAGTTACGGTAAACAATTTAAAGATTGTTAACTCAACATGGTGATTGTGATAGGATAACTTTCCACAAATTATGGTAAACAATCTATAGGTTGTTCACACAACATGGACCTTGTGATGGAATAACTATACCACCGTTACGGTAAACAATCTATACATTGTTCACACATCATGGACATTGTGATGGAATAGCAATGATGGAATAACTATACACAAGCTATGGTAATCTATAGATTGTCCACACAACATGGACATTGTGGTTGGATAACTATCCACAAGTTTTGGTAAACAATCTATAGACTATTCACACAACATGGACATTGTGATGGAATAGCAATGAGCATATTATGACATTGATAATGATGGACATTTTAATCAATGGAAATGATATTCGACACAATGTCAATTTCAAAATGTATTTCTTTCAGATCTGAAGCATATGAAATATAATAATTTTGTAGTTGCTATGATGATGTATTATAATATAATTTCTATACATGAATGGCACAACAAATCAAAATTGTTGACTTGTAACAATATAAGCTTTATATGGTGTTGTACTACAATGGGAGAGATACGGACTGGTACGTTTGTGATACTTATGTTGAATTTAGCTTGTGTTGTCCTTAAAGGATACCCTGTTTTGACATATTGTACTAGAAATGACTATGAAACTCTTTATTTTGCTGTTTACTATATTTCACGTCCTGCCAATACAATTTTCATTTGCAAATACTTTCATTTGCCATTTAGAAGGTGCTGGTTGTTTATTAATAATAATTTGATATATTTGTCGAGCCTATATCGGTGAATTATTATAATTATAATTCATATTGAATCTATAATCAATACGGAAATTAGTCTTATGAAAAAGTCATTTATGGTAGCGAGTACAGAAATCCAATTAAAACATTCATGTCTTTTAAACATGCATACATATTAACTACCTGGTAAAACATGTTTGCCAAGCACAGCTTTATTGTTAAATATTATGTTTATATTAAAGTGATGGTAAATTACATTGTAAAACAAGTGTGTTAATGATAAATGTGAGTGATAATTAGACATATATGTTGATTAAAACATATATTTATCAAAATGTGTTTGTTACCAATTAGAATATGTATGTTAATTCCAATGTCTGTAAAAAACTTTTTTTCTTTTTCTTTTTTCTTTTTTCTTTTTTTTTATGAAACTCCTTTGCCTTTGAACAATATATTCTGTATCTAGATTAAACTTGTCTCTGACTCCTTGGCTCAGTTGGTGCAACAGAATGGAGAGATTGACAGATAGGAAACGCATGTGATGTATCTTGTATGTAAAATAATTATGTATAGTATTGTATGATGGTATTAATGTCATATAATGACATAAAGATCCCTGTACCACTACCAAAAGCTAAACAAAAGTAGATTGGCTTGTGAATATTTTTTTCAGGCTGGACAGTGGCATTTATAAATCATTTCTGTACCACTTCCAAAAGCTAAAACAAAAGTAGATAGGCTTGTGAATATTTTTTTCAGGCTGGACTGGCATTTATAAATCATTTCTGAAAAGATACCAAACCTTACAGAACTTTTGTAACAAAATAAATTCAAGAGATTCGAACCCTGGACCTCTGATTGTCAAAACTGCCACCCCAACCAACTGAACTGGCTGGTCATTGATAGCACTTTGGCCGAATTGCAGTACAGTGATAATAAAAACAAAGTTAAGGGGAGGTAACTGTATCTACATAAACAAAAACATCATGTGTTTAGCCTGCAGTGGAACAGGGATTATTTTACTTTAAATTTGTCTCAAAATATTTTGGAGCTTATTGTTAATCAACACTAATGTTATCCAATTTTGAACAGATGCACATTTTGTATATATTATTTGAAATATAATTTTCTGGATTGAACAGTTTCTCTTTCGATATTAATGTGTATGCTAATTGTAAAATGACGTCCTACTGCACTGTTCATATAATGTTTAATTAAAAGTTATTCTATGTACATTTTAGTATTTCTTTTTTTTTCTAGAAAGGGGAGATAAAACTGAATAATTGTATTAATGACTAATTGAAATTTTAATTTAATATCACATGAAAAGTTCAATTTCAATTCATTTTCATTTTTGTGCATAATGCAACCATAGGTACATAGGTGTATTGACAGACGAGGCTAGCACCTGTGATGCAACCATGTGCACAAAAGTATAGTAAACAGTGTTTAACCCTTTCAGCCCTATGTAACTTTATTAGACTCTACCATGCATTGATCTGGATGAGTCCATTATGGTCAACAGTGGTGAAAGGGTTAACACATGTCTTCATTAATGTCGATAAAATCCAACCCATTGATTAAATCAGGACTTTTCTATTGAAGGGGAATGATAATCTCTTTCCAATTTCTCCACAATTTGATTTTAAAGGATCTCAAGGAGCTAACCTTTTGAAAGGAATGATTAGAACTGAGAGAAATTTACTTTTCATTATACTTAAGTCAGCAAGCTTAAAACTGGTAAAGAGTGTTGATTTCTTGTGTCATTTTACATTTTCCATGCACAGAGACACTACAAAAGATACTAGACTGAATAACACAATAATCGCTGGGAAAAGACCTGGCCCCGAGATCATGAAATGGTCTCAAGTCTAAAATTGTCTGAAGTTTTGACTTAAGCAATTACAAATACTGTCATAAAAGTGATGTCATACTTAATTGGGGAAGCAAAAGCTTTGTCTAAGATTGTTTCATGAACCCCCTTACCAGGGTTACCATGAGTACTGGCAATGGTATTACATTCTCCTAAATCACCAAAGCCACAGCAAATTAACCCCTGGTAATTGGAGTATTTTAGCAATGTAACCCTTACAGTTAATTTTGCAATCTATAAACATAAAGGCCACCTCTTAAACCCTGCCAACTTAATGTCTATTTTATGTGTAGGAAAAATATTTTGTTCAAATGCTCTTGTAGGGGTTACTTCCCTTCCATAGTTTTATTGAAAATAGAAAGAACCACATAATTGTTGGAAAGAAACTGAACAAAGAATAGTAGCAAAGGAGTACAAACTCTGATGGAAAAAGGGGAGAGTTGTTCTCAGGGTTACAGACAGTGAAGGAAAAAGGGAGAGTTGTTCTCAGAGTTACAGACAGTGAAGGAAAAAAGGGAGAGTTGTTCTAAGGGTTACAGACAGTGAAGGAAAAAGGGAGAGTTGTTCTCAGGGTTACAGACAGTGAAGGAAAAAAGGGGAGAGTTGTTCTCAGGGTTACAGACAGTGAAGGAAAAAGGGAGAGTTGTTCTCAGAGTTACAGACAGTGAAGGAAAAAAGGGAGAGTTGTTCTAAGGGTTACAGACAGTGAAGGAGAAAGGGAAATTTGAAGGTTTATTTTTTGTGAAGAAAGAAAGACTGAAGGAGAAAAAGGAAAGATGTTCAATGTTATAAGAAAAGATTATTTAGGATAAACTAATATCTGTTTCAAAAGAATTAACTTAAAAATGGATTGTTCAGTT